ATTTGGGTGCTCTGTGTGTCTCTGCAGCCCGTGTGTGCTGGCTATGCCCTGTTTGAGGAGAGGCCGGCGTTAGCGGCGTGGCGCGGGCGGGTGGAAGAGGCTGTGGGGAAGGAGCTCTTCCTGGAAGCCCACCAGGAGATTATGAACGTTAAGAACTTGACTGCTGACCAGTTTGCACCTGAGTTGCTGGAGAATTTCAAGCAGCAGCTCCTAAAGCAGAATTAGAAGGTTGTGTTCTAATAAAATGGATTATTCTTCTGAAGCCTTATTGTAGTCTTTCAGCATTTCTTCTAAAAATCATAAACACCATTCCACAAAATGCACTTCCCTTCATTCACAGCCTTTCTGCAACTTAGAAGGGAAGAAAAATCCATCTTAGACTGCCACGAGCAGCTTTTCCCTCTTGTCCACTGCAGCAGGGGAAGTGTAGCCCTGCAGGCTTTTCTTTCATGCTCCAGCACCACTGGATGTGTTTCAGAGCTGAGGTGGTTCAGTCTGTGTGGGAACAGGGGCACCAGAGCTGCCCTCCCACCTCTGCTCTGAGTTTTCCAGGCCAGAGCAAAGGTTTCCTGAGGGTATGGCAGAACGGGTGTGTCCGAAACAAGGAAAAAACTCTGTAGCAGATGGTTTTCACTTTGCCAAGTGGAAACAGTGCTGGAAGATTTTTGCTCTTTAGGAAAGAGACGGTCAGGACCCAACCCCTGGTGGGAGCCCTGCCAGGGCCCTTGGAGCAGCTGGCCACTAGATGCTGCTGCATCCCCTGTGAGAGCAAAGGGCCACAGTGCCCAGGGCAGGGAGCTGTGCTGGCACCAAGGGCTGCTCCAGCTTCGGCAAGGACAGAGTCAATAAAGCTCCTCGCCCAGAGACTCATGCTGCACTCGACAAAGAACAACCTGCACAATGGAAAAAGCTGCTTTTCTTGGTCAAGCTGCTGCAAACCACACGGTTCTCTCTGCAAACCACATCAGGCTCCGTCCCTCTCCCAGAGTGGTTTGTCAGCACAGCAGAAACCATTCTGGCCAGCTGCTGGCACGGAGTGCTGCTGTGGCTGGGCTAGCCCTGTGTGAGCAGAGAGCTCACACATGAGCTGGGGAATGTCCCATGCACAGTTAATGCTCCACTGCTCTTCAGTCTCCTCAGATCCTCCATAAAGCCAAGGCCTGCATTTGCCAGGGGTTGTAGCTCTGTTTGGGTTTGTAATCAGGATTTGGGAGGAAGTGGACATCACATCATCACCACACCTGTGCAGCACCCTCCATAGCCACAGCCTGTGTCCCTTTGTGCCATTCCTGCTTTCCGGTTCTCCTGTCCCTGTGAGCTCCCATTTCCAGGTGCAGGCCTCCATGAGGAGGGTTCCAGTTTGCAGAATTGTTTTTCTGCCCTCCTTGTTAAGCTGTGTTTGTACCTGGAGGTCTGTTTGTCTCCGCTGCTGGTTACACCACCCATGGGGAAGGCTGCACACTAAGCTGGGTGTGAGATGTCTGAATGCAAGTCAAGTTATTGCAGTGCCCAGAAATGGTGCATGTAGCTGCTCAAAGTCTCACACATCTTTTCAGTTGGATCTGCTGTTTTTGGGGAATCAGCCAGCTGGCTTTTCTGTTTGTTTTCTGAGCAAACCTGCCCTTAGTTCAAAGGGCCACATGAACCACAGTCAGCATTGCACATGCCTGCAGGCTGAGCTATAGGAGCAGGCTGGTGCCTTTCCATCCTTCCAACCTGCAGGAAATCCTCAATATCAGTGATGAAAAGGCACATTTGCCCTCAAACTCTGTCCCTTTCCATGCTGACACATGCAGGGCTATTTGAATTCTTCCTACCTGATGTTTTGTTGGTCCATTTGTTGAGAAGGGCCTGTTGCATGCCCGTGAGCAAAGGCAATGACAGCAGCTCTGTGCTGGCCTAGGAGTGCCTGGTGCCTGAGCAGCAGTGCCTGCCAGCCTGCCCTGCTGCAGCTGCCAGAGTGCTGAGCCCAGGAGGTGTTTACGTTGTACCACTTCCTTCCTTCCCCACACTGCAGTTTCACCACGCTCCCAGCTGGGCTGCTCTGCACCCCTGAAATCAAAGAGGTGCCTTTGCTGCCTTGCCAAGGCTGCCCAGCCTCACTGCATTCTGCTGCTGGCACCTGTGTAGCTCTGCTGACTTTCAGCTTTTCCCTTTCTTGCAAAGAGCAAACTTCTTCCAGCATCATAAATATTTCTCACACTTTCTGTTCAAGTATAGGCAGAGCAGAGAAACAATCAAAACCAAGAGTCTATTTTGTGGGGTGCTAACCTTGACAGATCTCAAAATGGACTTAAGGGCAGAGCCTTTTGTGCCACACATGTCCCTGCAGAATCTCCAGACAGGGCTACTCTGCATGCAAACCATTGCACAAGCCAAGGCAAATAAAGTGTCTTTTTAAAACTTTTTTATTTACTATACTTGTAGCACAAAAACTCCACGTAAGAGTCTTGAGCCAATTTTCTGCTTGTTGGAATGAGGCACAAGTTCCTTAAATTGTGCACTCCTGCAAGGAAGGCTGCCTTCAAAACCAAGCTGGAGCTATGTTCAGAGCTGGCTCTCTGGTGCTCCTGCAGTGCTGTTTCACAAAGGATAAATACACTTGCCTCACTCCAGCCTGGTCATGATGACAGGAGGGGATTTTAAATTGTTTTTCCCATAGTTTCTGCCTGGCATGTATGCAGTGACCAGTGGCATTTTGCCCACAGGACAAAGCACCTGCCTAGGGTAACTCCTTGGATGGCCACAGAGTTATAAAACAGATAAATCTGCCTTGTTCTTTGCTCTAAATCATGGAGATAAGGCTGCTCATCCTTGTACTTTGCCTTCTGCTACCCCTCTACCTCTGTATTTTGTTGCTTTGTGTCATTGGATCTTGTCTGGTTCCAGTTCCTAGATGGAAAGCCCTGGGAGCTGCCTCCAAAAATCCAACAGGTTGTGCAAGAGTTTTGCTTGCTTTGGTACAAGGTCTGTTGAGTGAATACTCCCCTTTCACCCTGAAAAGGGAGAGGGATTACATCTCCTCTGTCAGCTTAATTGAACGTGTTTTATTCAACTTCCTCAACTCTTGCCAGGGCTATTTGGAAATAAGTGAGAACCTGTGATTTCTGGAATAAAATGAAGCTGTAACACACAAAATAGAAGGAATGTTGAAAAAACAGAAAGACATCCTGAGACTTCTTCTAAATGATTAAGAAATAAACTGCAAAACTTTAAGCATTTTTTTACTGTCTTGTTCCTGTTTCCAAAATGTTGACAGAGAAGATAAGGGCAGGAAAAATGGTCTTTGAGGTGATGGAGTCAAATGAAAATACAGTGCTAGAAGCACTAGCCTGGAGCCAGGAATAATCAATCAAATGCCCTATAACACAGGCAGATAAAAATACCTCTTTGGTTATGTGGGCTGTGCAGTGCAGTCAGCAAACTGGAGAAAAACTTAAGGAAGGAACATTTCCAGGAGGCACATGAAAAGATCTTTGAAGTTCAGATAGGACTAATGGATCAAGTGAACCATGAATAAAGGAGCAAAGTGAACCCATGCTGCTAATGGTGCTGCACACTGCTGAGATCAACACTCTCCTCAATGATCTCTCAGAGTGTGGGCATGGGAGCACTTTGAAGCTCAAAGACTTCTCTGACTATTTACCTGTGCAGAGCCACTTTCATGCTCCTTTTCCCCACTCCCTTAACATTTCAGATTCCTTTGCACTGAAGGAGTTTGAACTCAAGACTCCATGAGCTGTATCTGCAGCATATCAGTGCTGGGTGCAGGTGCTCAAGAGCCTGAGCGGTGCTGCAGGGGAAGGGAAGGGGGTGCACAGCACCTCTCCCTGTTCTGGCTGAGAAACTGAAAAACTCTTACAGTGCTCTTCTAAATCTGAAAGTTCTAAACCCCTGGAAATGTTCCAGTTTGTAATTTGTCTAGTTCACAAGCTCCCAGCTCAAGTACCCAAGCCTTTTCCCAAGAAAAAGAGCAACAGATCCTCCAGTTCCCTCTCCCTGAGATTCCCATGGCTCTTCCCAAAGATCTGTGTGTGCCATGCAAGCTCTCTGGCACAACACTGATAGCGAGGTGTCAGCACAGCTGAGGTGGGTTTGATTGGGGGTGACTTTGCCCTGAGTGGTTCAGCTGCTCTATCTCACAGCTGCCAGAGTCCCTGCACTCAGCCAGCTCGTCACCTTCCCGAATCACACAGCTGGGAAACACTATGGGCTCAGTGCAAGTGACAAATACCAGGGAGGGGAAAGTCACTTTGAGCGAGTATGCAGATGTAATGTCCACAGAGGAGTCCTCCATGCTTCACTGCCGTTCAGATGTCACCTTGCAGCAGACACTATGTGACCAAAGAATTATGTTCTGAACAGAAAGCCCTACTGAGATCTGGCAGTGTGTGATTAACACTGCCTTAGAGGACACTGTGCAAGGGCCCTGTCTGCAGCGTGGCACAACCCTGCAGAAGTGTGAAGTGTGTTACAAAACTCAGTATTTACCTTGTGAAAGTTGTAGTGGGATGCTGTGGGTGAGTAACTCCAGAGACCCTGCGGTGCCAGCCAGAGCTGTGGAGGGGAGTGACAGCCCCCTCTCTCTTGCTGCTTAGTACCAACCTTTGAGGCTGGTGACTGACCGCTACTCGTGTCACTACTCCCGTTACCTTCCCGAAGGAAAATGAATGAACACGCTGCCAGGTCCGCCTGACGCTGTGGGAAGGGGAGCTCTGTAACCCCTGTCCCAGCTCCGGCCGTGCTCCCTGGGCTGGGTGGGCTCTCCCGGGCTCCTCCGGCACTCTCCAGTGCTCGTCCCGCGGTTCCCCCCGGCACAGACCCCGCTCCCTGTGCCCCCGCCCGGCACGGACCGGGGGAGGGAAGGAGGGAGGGAAGGGGGGAGGGCCGGAGGGCACCTCCCGCCCGGCGCGGCTCGGCCCCCGCCGGCCCATGTGGGGCGGCTCCGGGCGCTCGGCGGCAGAGCCGCGGCAGCTCCCCGCAGGGCGGGCCGGGTCGGGATGGGGCTGGAGCTGTACCTGGACCTGCTCTCGCAGCCCTGCCGCTCCATCTACATCTTCGCCCGGAGCAACAACATCCCCTTCGAGTTCAAGCACGTGGAGCTGTTCAAAGGTGGGACGGGCGCTGCCCGAGGCGGCGGGCCCGGGGCGGGCGCGGCCCGGCGGGGCGCGGGCTCAGCCGCTCTCTTGGCTCTTGGCAGACTCGGTGCTGGGGAAGAAGCCGGCGGCGGGGAGCGGCGCGGAGCAGCCCCGCGCAGGTGAGGCCGGGGCAGGGACGGGAGGGTCCCCACAGACCGAGAGGGTCCCCCCAGACCGAGCGGGCGGGGAGGGGGCGGCCGGGCCCGCAAGCGGCCGGCGCTGTAACGCGATCCCGGCGGGGGCCGCGCTGAGCCCGCCGCCTCTGCGGGGCTTTGCCCTCACGGGGCTTTGCCCTCACGGACCCCCGGGAACCGCTGCGGCCCCGGGCCTTGGGGGTTTGCCGGGGCTTTGCCCTCACGGACCCCGGGGAAGCCCTTGGCCTGCCGGCACAGGAGCTGCGCTCGTCCCTCAGCCCGCTCGAGGGAAGGAGGAGCTCCCCGGGGCACCCGGGGGATGCTGAACCCCGGCGCTGCCCAGGGGCGTTGGACGCCGTGGTTTGACCGTGCGGCTCCAGTTCCCAGAGCCGTCTCGTAGCTCTGCTGCATCTATTTTTGTGGCTCTCCAAGGAATGTTCCTCTAGCCATTTCTAGCAAATTACTCACACTGACAGCCGAGGAGTGCTCTGGGAGCGCTGTAGTTTGCGGCAACTCTGTTCAGGCTCCTCCAACTGATGACTGTTGCCCAGTTAAATGTTGAGTTTTCCTGTAAATTGTTACTTTTGTGCCTAAGGCAAAGCACGTTACTTCAAAACCCTTGGTTGAGGATTAGATGATTAGGCAGGTGTGTGATTGGCAAATAGAGTGGGATTTCCCCCTCCTTCTATTTCCATAAAATCTTCTCCGCTGCTCTTTTCACCCACCAATAAACCTCCTTCTCTGCACTATGTCTTAGGCTTAAGATTTCCTCATGGTGATACTCTGCTTGTTAAAGTTACACCTCAAAGCCCAACAATACACACTCTGTGTGTATCTATATCTATATATCTACCTGCATCCATCCTTGGGAGTCATCAAGAACTGATTACCCCAGATATAACTGATGTTAAATAGAAGTGTAAGTCAAGCCAACATCACAGGAATGATAAAGATGGACCTCCTAATATCACTGAACAAAAAGGCTGGCTCTGCTGGCTGGAAGAGAGGCACAAGCTTAAGTTCTGCTAAACTGCAAATACAAATATTGGTCTCTATTTCATACAATAAGCAGTGGGTCCCAATGAAGCAGCCTGGAGTTGCTGTTCACACCAATGCATTTACCAGGTCACAGCTCAGTCAGAGTCTCAGCACAGGTCTGTTATGTCTATCTGCAAACCAAAGTAGCTGATTCCATCCCCAGGCTGTGGTGCAGGCTGAGTCACAGACACTGAGCTACTGTCCAACCTGCTGTAATGGCATGGTACTTGGTTTGTCAGGGAACAAATATGCTCAGTATTCCTGCTAGAATTGCTGTATGATGAAAGCTCTCTGAAATCTGATTCAGGCTGCCCTCACCCACTGCTTACTTCTCATGTCCTTGTTTCTTAGTTCCCTGCTGCCCTGGATAATAAACACAGACAGCAGGACAGCCAAACAGCTGGGTTAGCTGGAAGCATTACTGACTGCAACTTTCTACTGCACTTTTCCAAAGACCAGGTGAACGCTAGAGACCTCACCAGAGCTGGGTGTGTGGTGAGCACTGGCCTTTGGGGCCATTCTAAAAGCACAAAACAAAGCACCCTACCTGAGCAATCCTTGCATGACAGTAGATTTACAAACATTTGCCTCGCTGTTTCTGTGATACAAATCATGGGGGTGAGACATCCTGTACATTGCACATTTTTTATTTTTATACTCAATTTTCTCAGTTATTAGGCTTAACCTGAGGTTTCTGTCAGGCTATTATTTTTAAGAAGCCCTCTCTAGGATTTTCTACCTCTCTTGACAGTGTTGCCTGTCTCTGCTGTGCAGATGGAACCTCTTACCCAGCTAAGCTGGGAGCCATATTCACAGCAGGCAGGCAGAGACTTTTCCTAATGAAAGGGAAAATGTGGGTTTGAATCTCTTCAAATAGCAGAAGAGTGTAAACCTTAATCTCTGATGAAGCTACTTACACTGGAATTTAAAAAAAACCCACTTCTCAACGAAACAAGGTAGAGGCTAGTCAGCTGGGAAGGAGAACAAGTGGTAATGTATGCTCTGCTGGATTTAACTCATTATGAGAAATCAATATAAGGGAAAGCAGTAATGCAGCAACCTGCCTTCTCCCAGCCCTTCCCAAACCAGCTGCAAATAAACTTGTTTGTCCAGAGGCTGGTTTTATTTCCTACTGCACATTTGTCCAGTAATGTAGACACTGCCACTGCTTCCTCAATGGGTACAAATAGTTCTTAGAGCTGGAGGTCACTATAAGTTAATGATCCTTTTTCTTGTCTTTTTTTGAACAAAGGGAGTTTTGTACAAGACCTCCTGCTGGTCATGCTGATTTGATCAGGATTTGCACTTTAATTGTCATGTCTTGTCAGGAGAACTTCAAACAAGCAAACAAATTCCTCCCAGCTTTTCTTACTCAGGTGTTCCTGGGCTGTTGTGCAATTCCCTGGCATTCAACTTCAGACTGGCAAGTCTGGTGCCAGCAGTGGGAAACTGAAAGCCTGATTAGATAGTCAGCTGTTAATTCCTCCAAGGGTCTGTGGAGTTTAAACTCTTATGGAATAGTGTCTTCCTCCTGTGTTTTCCTGTTAGAAGTGGGTTAATGTGCAGAGCCAGGAGTAACACAGAGTCAGGAGTAGTGCAGGGCTGAGTGTTTGAACTTCCCTGCCCCAGCCAATGTCCACCATGTCAGTAAGTTCTGCAAATATCCTGGTACCTGGGTCAAGCAGGAGAACTGCTGTTAGAAATGTAAAAGTATCAACTGCTCCATGCCACGTGGCCAGCCTGAGCCTGCTGCCTCTGCAGGCAGCTCTTACACTGAATCTGCCATTTCATTACCTTTCACTTGTGAGCTATGACCCTATTGGGAAAACCTCACACAGTTCACTGATCATCCAGCTGGCTGCAGGTATTTCATTGATCATGCACTGACAGATACACTTCTAACCTCAGGTTTGTCTGTTCATGTTCTTAGGGCCATCAAACAGTGAAGGTGCAGGCAAAGTCAGCCTCCTGAAGAAAGTACCAGCACTGAAGGACGGAGACTTCACCCTTGCAGAATGGTAAGAATTCAGTCCTTAGACTTCCTTGGGTACCACAGTCTGTGCTGCATTCAGAAGATGTCATTCCCATGGAATAATTAAGCATCACAGAATATATTAACATGCTGGTTATTTTTAATAGTATAACCTCATTTGATCTCTTTCCATTTTCCGTTTGAATTATCTTTCAGAATGTAAACAACTCATCTGACTTAGCTTCCTCATCTCACCCTGAATGCACTTACATCAAAATGGGATTATAAACATTTCTGGGAGATGTTTAAAGCTTATAAAAATCCCTTTCACCCTGGGAAAAGAAATACCTTTTACTCTAGGAAAGAATTCTGTTTATCTGAATTAGTCATAAAGGCTGAGAGAACATCTACACAGATAAAATTTAGGCTTTACATTAAAAGATTAATATGGAGACTGGTTAATGATGTCATGATACTGAAACAATTGAACTATAGCAGTATCAGTATGGCAGGGATGTCTTGCATTTTCTTCCATTTTGTCAGCACATTTTCTGTGGCTTTTTTTTGGTAGCAATAGCCTAAGTATTGTTGCAGATGACTAAGATATTTTTCCATCTGATTTCTGCCAGTTAGTGAAAGTATAAACATCTGGACAAACACAAAAAAAGATTCTGTAGGGTTTCCTTGCTGAGACTTCCACTGACTTCAGTGGAAGCTGCATGCTGGAGACAGACCTGATGAAAAGGCAGCAGTAACCCATCAGAGAGTTTCCTTAAGTGCACAGGCACAGAAACAGCACAGGTCTCAGAGAGCTGGGTCAGAACAGGCAAGGAGCAAGTGGAGGTACCAGCACTGATAGAGGACCATGGAGGTTTATTGTTTGTTTACCCCCAGCAGTGTCCAGCAGCACTGTAAAACAGTGCTGTGATTTTCCAGCAGGTTAAAGTGTTCATGGAAGCTGAGGTCATTAAGGACCACTGATGTCAACATGAATTAGATGCCTTTCTATGGTCCCTAGACTCCACTGGAAATCCTGATCTGAATGTTTTTTAGTGGAAGCAGCAAGCTGAGAAGGAGCAGGAGAGGGAGCTTAGGCAAGAGCATTGTGCCCTGTAAGTGCCTGACCCTTTCTTGTCTCCTGCTGGCGTGAGCAGCACTGCCATCCTGCTGTACCTGAGCCGCAAGTACAACACTCCTGACCACTGGTACCCCTCAGACATCCAGCAGAGGGCCCGTGTGGATGAGTACCTGTCCTGGCACCACGCCAACATCAGGGCCAACGCTCCTAAAACCATGTGGATCAAGGTGAGGAGACTGAATGTAAAAATGTGAGTGAAGTGGTGTTGGTTTGTGGGAGCACTGAGCATCTTAACAGCCCCAATTCAGAGGCTGTTGTGATGAAACAACAAACCTGGGCCATTCCTAGCTGGAAGGTGTAAGAATCTGTGTCTGGGCTGTTCAGGTCCAATCCAGCCAGCTGTGGACCCCAGCCCACACAATCTTACATGGACAAAGGCAAAAGATAGGAAGTGCTCCTCTCCACGTGGGGAACACAAGCTCTATGAGGAATGTTTGAAGGAGCTGGGGCTGTTTAGCCTGGAGAAGAGGAGGCTTAGAGGTGACCCTATTGCTCTCTTCAGCTCCCTGAAGAAAGGCTGTAGACAGGTGGGGTTGGTCCCTTCCACCAGGCAGCACTGACAGAACCAGAGGACACAGTCTCCAGCTACGTCAGGGAAGGGATAGGTTGGATATTAGGAAGAAATTTTTCACCAGAAGAATAATAAAGTACTGGAATGCTCTTGCCAGAGAGGTGGTAGAATCACCATCTCTGGATGTGTTTAAAAAAAGACTGGACATGGCACTTGGTCTAGTTGAGGTGTTAGGGCATAGGTTGGACTCGATGATCTTAGAGGTCTCTTCCAACCTCATTATTCTGTGATTCTGTAAATCTATTTCCTCGATAGGAGACACCAGATCATCCAGGTGACCCCCCAGATGCAAAAGAGGGCATTGCCTTCCCCCAGGGGGAATTTGAGCAGAGGGGAAGGGGGCAGAGGAAGGCAGCAAGAGCCAGTGGGATACAAGTGAGGAGGGGCGAGGGGAGGGGTGCACCAGGGAGAGAGCACCAGCACTGACAGGGGGAAAAAGACCATGTGGTGATAGGATACAAATCATGTGAACAGTGCAAATTACCAAACACCCAGGGCAAATAACTAAATAACTAAATAACTATTTAGTGCAATACAACAGAAAGGAGCAGGATCTGGCAAAAGCAGATTTGACCATTTTGGTTTTTCCCTTAAAGAAGGGCTGGTACAGAAGGTCTCAAGCCCAGCAGACTTTCATTGCCTGGATTTGTGAGTGAATATGTAACAGAGTTAGTGCTGCTTCCAAAGGCCTCCCCTCCCTGCACAGCTGTGCAGAGTGTGCACCCAGGCAGAGTTTGGCTTTGGTGAACATTTGTTTTGTTGCTGGAAGCAGAAAGACTTGCATTCTTCATACAAGTTACTGCAGCCTCTGAGGGTGGAAATCCAGAAGGAGTCTTCTGCTTCCAGCACACTTATGTGCTTCTCTGAGATAGGCTCAGGGACAGAGGGCAGAGACACACTGAGAGGCAGATTTTCTCTACTCAGTGTAGTCAGGCCATTTACATTTAGGCAAAATTACCTGATTCAGCCTGAGTCAGAAAATCATTTAGTATCAGATGATTTTATTGGACACCTATTTCCAGCCAAGTCACCAGACAGTTAATGCAGCTATCCCTAGAGAGACCTAGGTGCAAGTATAATTCTGCAGGGACAGCTGGCATGGAATTTCAGATGAAATCAGGATTGCTAGTAAATAGGTAACTTCACTGCTCCCTTGTAAATTTGCCCTTGTTTGTGCCTAGCAAAGCATATCAGGACTCATTTATCTTCTTGAATTTATTGGTATTTGATTTTTTGGCTATAGAGTACAGTGAAGCAATTCAAATATGAGGCAGATTCATACAAGTAGCAGTTTTTTCCAGCCTCTGCAGCTATCACTGCAGTGCTCCAAGGGAAAGAAATCCAAGTAATTGCTGCTGATGGTGATTAGATAGCTCAGATGCAGAAAAGGTCCTCAGAATAACTGTAAATATGGAAACATCTAAAGCCACCTTGTAAGAGAAGCATATTAGCTAGAAATGGAAGAAGATAGACAGCCCTGAGATAAGGAAAAGGAAGAAGGGCTGTTTCAAGGAATTTTACCCAAAGATCCCAACATGCATTATTGGAATCACTTAGGAAGAAAACTGGCCATGAATTTTCTGATGAAATTGATTCCACATGTATTTGGCCAAAATCCTGGCTTGGATTAAGCAATCCCAACTTGAATTGTTGAATATACTAGCAGTAAGTAGAAATTCAGTTCACTTGCACTGATTGAAATTTGTGTTTATAATTTTGATTCTCTAAACAAACTGTACTTCTGTAGCTGTGGAAGGTGAAGGCAGCACAGCTGTGAAACACTGGTGGCTCCAGTGCTGCATACACCTCTGTGACTGGTGAAAATATTGTGGAAAGGCAACTACCCCCTGTGCCAGCAATCTGTGCAGACACAAGGACTGCACTTCTGTGATTGTTCCTCCAAAATTTCTAGTGGTTTAAAGAGTGATGCTTTAAGCCACTGAAAGGTTTGTGTAAAAATGGTGTTGACCACTTCCAGCCTTGGTGGCTGCTGTCACACAGAGGAAGCCATTTCTGTCTCTCCAGCCAGTGTTGATGAATTTTTGTCCTTCCAATGCTCCTGCCACAGGCACCACCATTCCCTCCTGTCCATCACCCTGCAGGACAGGCAGTGCCTGCAGCACCCAGTTCCACAGCAGGGTGTGTGGCTGCTGGGCAGCTGCTGGTGACACAGAGCATGTAGCAGGGGTGACTGTGGCAGGGATTTGTCTTCCCTGGAGCTGTTGCCCATTTTTTTTTGTAGCCCAGCAGGGTGGAGTTGGAGGGCACAGCTGCCAGGCACAGAATGAGGTGAGGATTCCTTGATTTTGTTCCTCACATTGCTGCTGAGTAGCTGAGGTCACTGCCATGGCAGGTCACACTTAGGACAGCTGCTGTGCTCTCTGTCCAGGAGCTCTGTGGAGCTGCCACAGCCCATGCAGCTCTGCCATCCCCTTCTGTGGCTTTATTGCAGGCACTGCTGATCATGGGGTGTAACCTCAATTACTACTACCAGAGAAGATGTCATGTCTGTGCTATGTCCCTTCTCTCCTCAGGTGTTGATTCCCCTCTTCACAGGGCAGCCCCTGCCCTCGGAGAAGCTCCAGGAGGTTATGGAGGGGCTCTCCACTTCCCTGAAGCAGTTTGAGGAGAGGTTTCTGCAGGACAAGGCTTTTATCATTGGGAGTGAGATCTCCCTGGCAGATCTTGTGGCCATTGTGGAACTGATGCAAGTGAGTGCCTGGAGCATGGTGAGGAAGCTCAGCACAAGGAAAGCAGATGCTGCTGAGCAGGGAAGGGGCAGCATGTGGGAACTCTTCACTAGCAGGAGAAGTGAGGGCATATTTTGGCAGAACTGGCCTAAGACAATGGGGAGAATGTGGGAGTGGGTTCAGAACAGCAATGAAAATCAGAAAAAAAGCTGGCTGCAACAGATCTCTTTTGTTTCTCATCTGTAGCAATAACCTTTTCTTCATTTTTTATCATGACTTTCTTTTTAACCTCCAGAGAAGGAGGTAATATATATAAATGAGAAGCAATAGCAGACAGGTCTGATGAAATGAGAGAACCACACAGAAATATTTCTACCATTCAAGAATATAATACTTGCCCATGCCATGTCTGGAAAATGAAATAATTAATCTCAGAGGCAATCAAATTAAGTTTGTTACAAACTGATTTTTCCTGCCAGGCCACCAGGGCCTGGATCCTGCAGCCCAGCAGTGATTTCTTTCTCCAAGGGACTGAAAACCAGCAGTTCTGCTTCTCTACACTGTGTTCCAGAGAGTGGCACAGGCAGAAAGCAGAAGGGAGTTAGATTATGTTAGTTAGGACAGTTAAACACATGTTGTGCTGGGGGTTGCTGTATAATCCAGCATTCTCTACTGCAAACTGGGCAGTGATCCCTGGAACTGCCAGCCAGCATCTTCAGTGTCATGGCTGAAAATCACTCACAGAATGTGCTCATCCATGCTGTCCTAAGCAGCTATTCCAGCACCCAGGAACTGAGTTGTAAATGCCCTTTAAAATCCTGCTTAGCTTTTGTGTCCCCCAGACAGGCACCAGCGATTTCCCTCCTTCCTACTGCTCCTCCATGAGCTCTGCCTTTTTTTCCCCTTTACCTGCAATTATCCTTTTAGTGCCTGCTGTCTCAGCCCAGAAGTGACTGCCCCAGGCCTCACTGTTGCTCTCTCCCCTTTCTGCAGCCTGTTGGAGTTGGCTGTGACATCTTTGAAGACAGACCCAGGCTGAGGGAGTGGCGCAGGCGGGTGGAGGATGCTGTGGGGAAGGAGCTTTTTTTCCAAGCCCATGAGATGATCCTCAATATCAAAGAACTGAGCAATATTCAAATTGATCCACAGCTGAAAGAGCAACTGGCACCTGTGTTGATGAAGATGTTGAAATGAATTAACCTATCTTAGCATTCTTCCTGCCTTTTTTTTTTCCTTTTTAACTTCTTCTCTGACATCCAGTTCTCCATGTAACTGGAAAGAGCACTGTAATTCTAACACAGAAATTGCAGAGTGGGCCAGGTCTTTCTTGTATCTGTGGGGGTGGAAGCTGGGGAATGTTTAAGACCTAAAATATTAAATTTATACAGAAGGCTGAGGCCCTACAGGTCACTTAATGTGCCTCTGGATTTTATTTCAGTGTCAGTCTTCTCAGAGATGGTAGAGACAAGGATGGTATTTCCTGACAGAATTCAAGCCAGCCTACAAACTGGGAACATGAAAGAACTGAATAGGATGAGGATCATTGTTTCCAATTTTAACATTTGTACTGCAAAGTGTGCCTGATCCTCATCTTCCCAGCATGTCTGTACAGACAAGTAGAGCACAAAGCTACTTCACAAACTGAAAAAAAATAAAATTTAAAGATTTCTTATTGTTGAGGCATCTTGCTTGGCTGTCCATGTACATTCCACACTTCTTTTTCCCTTGACATTCCTTTGAGAAATTTCTTGTATTTCTACAATGGTGAATCTTTATAATTCTTCAGTTCAGCTGCTGCTTTGGATTTCTGAAAGCCTGGGTTCTATTGGTGCTCTGTCTACCAGTACATGTGTGGAGCAGCTCCTCTTGGAGATTCCTGCTGCAGGTGGCCACAGCCTTGGAATGGCTGCCCACCTAAAAACCCATGTTGATATTATATAGGGAGTACTCTGAAAGAATGCATTCACAGTGGTTTCATGAAAGAGAATATAACAGTACACAAATTGGGTTTTTTCTATGGTAATACTGTCATAGCACATTTCTCCTAGGAAATGCAGAGAGGGGATAAATGCAGACATCCTCTTCTGAGACTGTTTTGGATGGAAGTTCACCAAGTAAGTCATCCAGTGCAGCTGAAGTAATAGGAAAGATTTTGTGGCATTGAGCAACACATGCATCACAATAAAAGGGCAAAGAGTTGTTTTGGAGCTTTTGGGCTCTTTTTCTTGGCTGTTTGTTTCTGCTCAGTTATAGCTCAAACACAAAATCCTTTTGTATTGCAGCACAATTTATGAGATAAAACTGAGCAAATCCAACCATTTCCAGTTTCTTCAGTTGAAAATAACAAATTTTAAAGGATGCAGAAAGTGGTGGAATATATATCTGTATATTTCCATTCATAAGTAGTTGTTGCCCTTACCCTAAAATCCTTGCCAAAAAATTCTTCCTGTAAAGACTAAAACAAAATGAGTAATGGAATTCAGGAATTGCTTCTTTCACTAATCAAATAACTGTTTGGGTTTTTTTCCTCTAGTGCTACCATGTCTTGGCTAGTGACATTTTTTGCTGGCAAGTTCTAAAAAACCTGTTGTTTTCTTATGGTGTTTTTCACCAAGGTTTCAGTTCTAGATACTACTCTGTCCTAGAAATCTTTGCCCAGCCTTCTTCCTGGCTGTTTTTTGCACATAACTCTTTGTGCCAGTATTGTCTTCATTAGCAGCAGTGAAGGCCAAGCAATTCCCTAAGCAAAAAAAAAAAAAAAAAAATTAGCAATTTTATCAGTTTTCATTAGCGTTGTCTAGAATTGTAGAAAACCAAGATGTCACATTACACAAGGCAAATTTTCCCAACAGTTTTGTGCCTTAAATGATGACATTTTATTATAGCTGGTTGATAACCCTTTGTTGTAAATGAGCTCATGGAACCTCACTGGACAGTAGCTCAGCTTCTGGTCTCTAGTTTAGACACCTGTGATCTGCAGATTAGACTGTCCCTGTGAGCCAGCGTGCCGAGGTCACTTACCAGCTTGAGAGTTCAAAGTCCTGATTGCTCAAAGTCCTTGTAATTCATACATGTTAGATAAAGCAGTAAGCCTCTGCTTGCTTTTTAACTTCATGTCGTGTTGGTTGTTAATAGAAATTACCATTCTCAGCCCTCCCTGCACAGAGGTGTTTTGTAGTGACCTGAAAAGTTTTTCCACTCTCAATAAGGGCTGTGACAAAACTCATTCTACCCATCTGTTAGTGAGGTGTGATGGTTTTGGTTATAGTGAAGTGAGGCAACCCTGACACTCAGGCAGAAAGGAGGCATCTGACTCCATCTTATCAGAAGGCTAATTTATTACTTTATTGCACTATATTATTCTATTCTATATTACACTATATTATGGTATATCTAAATTGAATCTGCCAAGCACTCCACTGCACAGAATCTTGTGACTGTCAGCCAACAGTCCCCTACACGCACACCTGGCCCTGATAGGCCAAGGAAACAAAACAGCATCACTTTGGGTAAACAATCTCCATATTGCATTCTACTTTTGCACTAACACAGGCACAGCAAATGAGATAAGAATTGTTTTTCCTTTCTGTGAAAAACGCCAATCACTTGCTTTTAAAATTTTAAACGTTTAATAGTAATAAAATGGTTATAAAAATAGTAATACAATTAGAGTAATAATAATTTGGACAAATTGAATTAGAACAATATGAGACAATAGAGACAAAGAGTTACAGACGTCCGGGTACCTTTTCTGGGCAGCACAAGCCCGAAAAAGGACCCAGGTTAACAGAGGATTAACCCTTAAAAGCAACAGCCTGTTGCATATTCATACACTTCATACATAATGCATTAATCCATTCAAATACAGGATTCTGTCTGGTCATCATCATCGTCTTCCTCTTAATCCTAACAGCACCTTCGAGGTGGGAAGTTCATTTCTTCTGATAAGAGGCAATAAACTCTTTTTTTCTGAAAGATGTAGGTGTCCTGGGGCTGCTATCTGGTGAGGGCCTCATTCCTTTCTTAAAAAAAATCCCACTAACATAGTTCTTATTTTAACTACAAAAGTTGCCTTTTAATTACAAGACTACATTTATGATATTATTAAAATGTTCATACAGCACTGCTAATCAATACATCAAAATACATATGGTAAATATCTGCGTAGAGCCATATAATATGCACTTTTTCTCTGAGGCTCAGAGAATGTGAATCCCAGAAATATTCTCGGGAAGCTGTGCCTTGCTTTTCTCTGTGAGGAGCAATGTGGTTACATTTGGTCTCACAAATGAGAGCGAGTCCCACAGGCACAGAGTCACCCACGGTGAGTCCCACAGGCCCGGCAGCCGCTGGTGCAGCTGGGCTGGAGCGGCGTGACCGGCGCGGGCCGAGGAGCACGGGCAGGGCCGGGCGCGCTCCGCTGCTGCGGGCGGTGCCGGGGCTGAGCCCGCCCCGCCGGGGCTGCGCTGCCGGGGCGGCTCCGGGGGCGGGACACGGCCCGGGCCGGGGCAGGGGCGGTGCAGGCCGCGGGCAGCAGCAGCGGCAGCAGCAGCGCCATGCCGTTCGTGGAGCTGGACACCAGCCTGCCGGCCGAGCGGCTGCCGCCGGGGCTGGCGCAGACCCTGTGCGCCGCCGCCGCCGATATCCTGGGCAAACCGGCGGAGGTGAGCGGGGCCGGGGGCGGCGGGGCTGACGGGGGCTAACTAACCGTGGCTAACCGTGACTTACCGTGTCTGTCCGGCAGCGGGTGAACGTCACGGTGCGGAGCGGGCTGGCCATGGTGCTGTCGGGCTCGGCCGAGCCCTGTGCCCAGCTGGCGGTGTCGTCCATCGGCGTGGTGGGCACGGCGGAGCAGAACAAGGCGCACAGCGCCCGCTTCTTCGATGTCCTGACGGCGCAGCTGGGCCTGGGCCCCGATCGGTGAGTGCGGCCCGGCGGGGGCTCAACCCCAGGGCAGCGAGAGCGTCCTCATCGGGCCTACGGGTCTGTGGGGTCCGTGGACATGGAACACGACAAACAAGTGCCAAGGGATGTTCAGAGCAGTGGAGATAGTGGCAGTTCCCGTGTCCTCCAGGAGATTAAGTTGTGATACAGATCCAAGACAAGATTGCTAACAAACACCAAGTGCTTGTGGATGCTGAATCCCAGATATGTGGTTTGGAGCCAGATAAAACCACAGACTGGTATGCACTTGTGGAACAGTCTGGGCTTTACTGAAGTTCAGTAGTTACAGTTGGTGAAGCTGGTGCAAAACCCCATTGGAATTGGTAGAGCTTCACCCTGCCAGGGTGTCACCTGCCAAATGCTGGAACAAGGCTGTTCCTGAAGGTCAGCCATGTCCATCTCTGCTTGTCTTACCCATCTCCCCAAAGCAGAGTGATAATAGTACTTCCCTGTCTCTTGGGCGCTGTCAGGACAAGTCCCTGGCAAGATTATGCACTATGTGGCTCCTTCTAAAATGGACAAGTATCTCATTTAAAGTGTTGAAATACAGACTGTGGGTGAAGTCTGTTTGTACCCTGACCCATACACAGCTTATGTTTCCTTCTGTTAAATGAGCACCCTGAAGTGTAAGACAGTGAGACCCCCGGTGCAGATTTTCTACTGTGTTGCAAACTGGGCAGCAGTAATGTTTAATTGTAAAATAATGTTTCCTGTCCACATTTTTGCTCTTTTACCCAAAAGGATTGTCATTCGCTTTTACCCTCTGGAGCCCTGGCAGATTGGCAAGAACAGGACAGTCATGACATTCCTGTGATCCTTGGAGCAGCTGCTGGAACAAAGCCAGGATGAAGGCAACCCAGAGATGATCAGCTCTGTCTGTCTGCTTGTTTCCTCTTGTGATCCAATCTGTGTAGCTCGATTCACTTTTGTATTTGCGTCCTGTACACACAAAGTTCAAGAGTGAAGCAATCAACTGATTTTACTGAAATAGTTCAAAGTCTTTGTCTCAAGTTCAGGCCTAGACAAAGCTGCTTGTAGCAGTAAAAAGTTTCGTTCTAGAACATTTGGCTTTACTGAGGACCAGAGAGGTTCTGAGGTTTATCTAGTTTTTCTCATCTTTTGCAAGGCAGAAAAAATCCTTTTTTCTGTTTCTCTGTGGCAGCAGAAGGGTCTCAGGCCAGTGAAGATGACCTGGAAGTCAAATTATTTTCTTTTCAGGCTCCCCTGAAAGCCCTTTCTGGAGGGCTGAAAGAGGGGTGATTATTAGGAGAGAAGTTTAGGCATTGAAGAATCACGTCAGATCTTGTGCTCTGTGCTCTGCCCTTGCCACCTCCTGTGACTGCTCCTACAAAGTGTTATTTGTTCACAAAGTTTCCATGGCTCAATGTCTGTCTGCTGATGGCAGTGGCTGAAGGAGAGAGTCACTGCTGAAGACCTGCACTGTGCCACCAGAAAATATTTTGAAGTTTCTGCTACTGCCAGCTTTAATTCCTGTTGTTCACTGTTTGTCCAGAGTCCTTTTCCTTGCTGTTATGGGGAGTTTTGGGATGATACAGTATCTCACTGTGATCTGAGCTGATGTTTCTGGCTCAGTGTCCCTCCAGAGAAGTGTTTTGGGTTTTTAGGACCCATATACTCCCTCACTTTATAAGTAGAATACACAGGGCATTTTATTATAACAAAAGCAAGGTACTTTTTGTGTACAATGTTGCCTTTGCCTTCTGCTGCTAATAAAATTATTTATCAGTTCCCTTTCTCTTTGTGACTTGGTCAGGGGGAGGTCAGGGAGCTCAGGGCACATCCCTGGCACACGAGGGTGCATGAGAACACAAGAATGAAGGGGGCTTCTGTGCTCCTTCATCATTCTAAATGGAGTTTTATTTGTTTATGGCTTGAGGTATCTTCTAATTACCATTTAAAAATTGTTTGTTCCCTGTATACCGTAATTAACTTCTATATTTGACAGATCTGACAGGAATATAATACCAAACACAAATTTGTGTATCAGGCTGGGGGGGCTGCACCTTATCTGGTTAATAAACTGTCACAAAGTTTCTTTTGGTAAGTGTCAGTTTGCTGGCTCACAGCACTGGGGTGTTGGTGCTTGGAGACTGACATTGTGACTGCCCAGGTCTCTCCACTTTCTCAGGAGGTCTTTTCAATCTAAAGTTGTTGAAACTCAGGCAGCAGCCAGGTAGGTGACCTGAGTCTGAGAACTGACTCAGCAGTACTGTGTTGCAGAGAAGGGGGTGCACAGCCCTGGCTTTGCACCAGCTTGAGGTGAGGATTCCGAAATGCCGAAAATGTTCTCACTTTAATTCTGATCTGCAGATGGTTCATTTCCTGGAGGTCCTTCTGCCTCCTGAAGTAACAAGCACAGACCTTTGCCAAAGCCTTTGTTTCCTTCAGAGAAACCTTGCTCAGCCCTGGGCCCCAGCTCTCTTGGTTTTGGGCCATGTTGGCCACCCTGGGGACTTGTGCAGTCTCTGCTTTCCTCACCCTTGGCTGCTCCCAGTGTGGGCTTGTGCTTTGGAACAACTTCCCCAGGATTGCAGAGTTGAGCAAGAAGATGTAAGAAAGTTCATGTTGCTCTGAAGAAATGGCCTATTTTTTACTTCACTGAGCTAATGTTGGAGTAGGTTTGACAGTATTTTGGGACTCTAATCCCCCTGCAAAAGGTTTATGCAGGCCCCCCCCAGGCATGAACACATCCACCAGAAAAGCAGGAAACATTTTTCACTCCTCAGGTTGGGGAAAATCAGATACACCACCCTTATCTATGGCTCAGCAATGACATCATAAAATCCCTTTCCCTTGCATGCAGATGGTCCCAGTTCCAAGGGCTGGAGCCTGCCTGACACCTGGAGTTAGCAGCTCCCAGCTATGGTTGATCTTTTACTGTTGTAACTCCCCAGGCCTAACCTCCTAAGGTTGACAAATATTTCTGCTACCCAAATATGTTCAAACTGGAAGGCAATGCCCTGATTTTGAACACTGAGTAACCATTTCCTAGCCCCAAACCTTTGGACTTTGGACAATCAGTCTGTGTATTTACACTAGAGAGGAGCAGTGAGGCCCTGAGGATGATGCAGGGCACCACTGACAGGAAAGTGCTGCAGGGTTGTGAGAGCTTTGTGAGTTACTCTGCAAACACAGCAGTGGGATGCTGCTGCTCACAGCAGCCCTGTGATTGGTGTGTCATGGTGGAAAGAGGGGCATGTACACAACTGGTACATTTGAGGTGAGGAGAGCTGTTCCTCAAGTGCTAAGGGGTGATTCAGTGCAGTGCTTGAGCACCAGCTCACCTTCATCAGTGAGTGGGATGTGTTGTAGGAGTGTTTAGAGGTGAGGTTCTGTCCCACAGCTGGGGCCTTGCCAGCCTGTGCTGGGGTCTCTGTGGGGCTGAGGATGGCACATCTGCTCTCTGACACTGCTGTCTGACCACCTTACACATTATTTATAAAGTCATTTCCACACAGAGCTGTCTCAGTGCTGCTGGGCTCCACTTCCCCCAGACCCCAGGGGCACCAAGTATGTTCCCATCTCCAGCTGGCTCCATGGCGCTAGGGAAACTCGGTGGCCTTGGGCTGATTTCCAGCCCCCTGGGCAGGGGATCCACACACATTCAGGGTTTTGCCCACACACCCCACACCAGCTGCACCTGAAGCTCCTGGGGCAGAGAAACATCTGACCTTCCTGTCACCTGCTGAGTAGGGGCAATCTTTAGAGCTCTTAATTTCTGAAGCTGGATTCTAAATTTTGCAGATGGGCTGCAAAAAGAGGATGACAGGCCTTTACTTTGTGAAGGAAAGCAGCTCTGCCCAGCATTGTTTGTGCAGGTGTTGGAGGACTGAAAAGGCAAGGATCTGCTTTCTGCCCTTGCACCATTTTTCTGTGAGAAATCCCCAGATTCAGCTTGGAAGATCAGCTCCACATTTTGGAGTTGGGTTGCTAAAAGAGAGTGACAGTACCTTTCCTTGGCAAGGAATGCTCATGGTCCCAGTGTTGATGGGTCAGACAAGACTGTCCAAGGGTACAGAAACACCTTTCTGTCCTGACAGCTTTTGAGTGGGAGCAATCCTTGGATGTATTAATCCTTGGAGGTGGTATCCAAATTTCAGTGGTGGATCCCTGAAAGGGAATGGTGACACTTTTCCATAGGAAAGAAAACAGCTGGCCCCAATGTTTCAGGGACAGATACCAGACTGCCCAGGGGAGGTAAAGGCTATCAGGACTTTGCTGTCCTGGTACTTTTGGTGTTGATGAAGTGAGCCTTAAGCTGCACCAGGGGAAGTTTAAATTGGATATTGGGAGCAATTTCTCCACAGAAAAACTGATTCAGACATTTGACCTGTCTGTTAAAAACGAGACTAGAGTCCCGGTACTAAAGTGATTTCAGCATTTATTATAATAAAAAGAAAGGCCTAAAGCAAGGGCCGAGCAGGAACGTTCCTGTCGAGGATGGAGCAGCTGCTCAGCAGTGATGGCCCCGATGTCCCGGGGAATGGCACATATTCACTGGGTCAGAAGCCCCTTTTTATCCTGTTTTTGTCCCTTTTGGATTGGTTTCTGTTTGGATCCTTTATTTGCATGAAGGTTTAAGGCGCTTGATTGGCCCATTGCAGTTCTGTCCAGGCTGGCTGGTTTCGCTTGGGGGTGGCGCACTTAGGTGTAATACGGTACTTACCGTATTTCTTATAACTACCCTTTTAACCCCTTTTACAATAATCAAACTAACACTACATGCTTAACAATTCTCAACTATTCTACAACAGTTCCTAACCTATTTTTAACACTACATGCTTAACAATTCTCAACTATTCTACAACAGTTCCTAACCTATTTTTAACACTGCCCAGGGAGGTGGTGGAGTCACCGTCCCTGCAAGTGTTTAAAGAAGGACTGGACATGGTCTGGCCGGCACGGGGGTGTCGGTTCCCAGCCGGGACCCCGAGCCCGGAGCTTTCCCAGCCGGGATCGCGAGCCCGGGGCTTTCCCAGCCGGGACCCGAGTCCGGAGCTTTCCGAGCCGGGACCCCGAGCCCGGGGCTCCCTCAGCTGTCGCCAAGCGCCCCCAGTCGCCGCTCCCGCCCTGCCGCCTCCCAGTGCGCGGCGCTGCCATTGGCTGGCTGCGGCAGGGCGGCTCGGCCAATCAGGAGCTGCGTTGTTGGCGCCGCGGCTCCGGAGGCGGTTGCGGTGGAAACGGGCGGAGCGCGGCTCCCGGGGGAGCGGCGGGAGCCTGAGGGACCCGCGCTGGGAAACCGCGGGAGCGCCCCGGGAACCCCCGGGAAGCCCCCGGGAGCAGCGCCGGCATGCCAGGGGCGGCCTCGCGAGGTGAGTGTCCCGTCCGCCCGGCCCCGCGGAGGGGCAGCGGCGTTCGGGCCCTGCCCCGTGAGGGTGGCGAGAGCCCGGCCTGGGCGGCCTCGTCCGTGCCTGTCCCTCCGTGGAGCCGCGGGCGGAGGCCAACGTGGGCTCCCGCCTCCTCCCGCCCCGTGTGCCGCCCTCCGGGCCAGCGGCGAGAGCAGCGTCCCTGGCCACTGTGCAGAAAGTGATCGTGTTCCGTCAGAATGGCTGTGCTGAAGCGAGGCGGAGCTTTGCAATGTTAAAAAAAGAAACCCAGAACAAAATTGAAGTGTTATTTAAACGTGTATCTGAAATGTATGGATCCCAAGTGTAGCAGGAACAACAAAAGCTGGGAAAGCCCAAGTCACTCCCTTTGTTTCTTACTTAGAAGTTGAGAACACAAGTTCTGGGAGCAAGAGCTGACATTGGAAATATTTGCTTAAATTTTAAACTGCTAAGGTTAAAGGAGAGAAGGTTTTGAAGGCAAAAGTCTTGCTGCCTTTCAGGATGTGCACACCTGTTGTAGCCACAGATTTATAGCTGAGACACTCTTGTATCTGAAGAAATTCAAACGGGTTTGTAGTACTTAATATGAAAGAGGAGTTATTTTTTGCCTGCTTGTCTCATGTAGCTGTGTTCTTCTGGGAGTGCTTGCAGGGACACACTCAGTTCCTAAGTGCTGTGGCCCTGCTGTAACTCCCTCCTCAGGCAGGGTAGTTTTGCAGCCATGTGCAGTGCCTGGTTTAAACCAGAATGAAATAACACCCTGCCAAAGCTGTGGGACAACACCCAGCCCCTGTTTGCCAGCAGCACCTCAGTCCTGTCTGGTTCTGTGCTTTCAGCCTGTGAACACCAGGCTGAGAGATGCTAAGTATTTGTTACTAAGTTCCTGCCTGTTACAAGCTTCCAGTATTAATAATAAGTGGAGCTGAAATTGTTTTCCCACCTTTTCTGCAGTTGCAGTTTCCCCAAGAGTCCAGCCTCGGATGTAAAGTCTTGACCGTAGTCTCTGCTCTTGACTTCCTCTGCCACCTTGAGCAAGATTCTTTGGATTCAGCAAAAGACTTGGGCATATTACTGAATATAGGCATTTTTGTAAGTGGATTTAAACCCCATCAACTTAAATATGTAATTGATTTGGGATCCTACAGACTGAGTTACTTAAATGCCATAAGCATCTACACCCTGTCCAAATGTGTGACATTCAGTCTGTCTGAAAGTAACCATTAATATCTGTGCATGTATTTTCTTCATGTGAAAAGTAAACAAGGAGTCTGTCCTGAAGAAGATTTGAGGTTTTATTAAATGTTGATCTGGTGACTTTAAAGGGAAGAATGCTTTACTGCTGTGCAGTTGTCAGTCTGATTTAACTAGAGGCAGGGAGAGCCAGTGGTGCATGGGCCAGCAATTCTCATTGCTGAATGAGTGGAATTCTGTCAAGGCATTATTTTCTCTACATGCAGAACTCATCATGATGATGTATGAGTTAATTCAGCTTATAGTTCCAAACTCCCACTGCTTCCTGCTGTGGTTAATTCTGGATTTACTCTTCTATTAATGCAGTCTCCCATATTAAAGACTGTTTTTAGCCTGTCTTGCATATGTCATCTTCTTGTTGGAGTTGATGGGAATGTTTTATCTTGTAGCAGTGAAGGTTTTCTATAAAGCAGCACAGAGCTCTTTCATATATTTTTGCCTTTACTAACATGATGTTTCAAGAATATAAATTATGGGCTTACATATGAGGAAAAATTACTTACAGGTTATAAATATGTATTTACCCCTTCAAATTTTTTATCAGTGGTAAAAAGGACTGGAAATATGAGTATCCTTTTTCAGAATGAAGAAATGCTAGTTAGTTAAAGTTCCATTTCTTTTGTTTGCTTCCATCTGGTAGATGTAAGTGTGTCTGCAGTAGCTATAACTTTTTCTTGCATTGGGGCTGGTCTGTAGAGGTTGGTCAGGATACTCAGAACAGCTGTGGGACAAACACTGGTTCTGTTCTAGCAGGGGTGGCAGTAATGAAAATTATTCCTCAGTGGAATTATTGTTCTTCAGTTGTTGGGCTGTCTATCTCTTGGCATGGGATTGTGGTTAACTGGTTATTAAAGTGTGCTTGTAAAGTATTGTCTTTTACTTCTGAATGTTTTCTTTGTGAACAGAATAAATTTTCTAATCCTGTTTGCTTTCCAGGCCTGTTTGTGATAGACCCCTCCTTCTATTCCTGGAGACAGACATTGTGAATAGTTGTGAACATGGTAAGGGTTTTTTGAAATGGCTTTTAAGATGTTTTGTTAGCAATAAAATAGAGAATTTTCTCCTTCCCTGGGACTAAGGATAAATTGCCATAATGAGAACATTGTTTTTGGAGTGATTGTATTATTAGTAAATTTAAGAATTTGGGAAAAAATCACTGTAGTGTACATGTCTATTCTAGGAAAGTTGTTGCTTGCAAGACACTTGAAATTAGTTTTTTTTCAGCTGATTTTGGATGGGAAATGGTTTTGATATTTATTTATTTGCAATTCGGGATAATTAAATTAATTACAGCTCTTGTAACTTTATGTAGTGATCTCTCAGTATTGTTCATGTACCAGTTAATTAAAAAAAAGAGACAAATCCAGTTTTCAAAGGACACTGGGACATCTGTAGGTGTGACATTTCTTGTGATGTCTCAATTGCCATTCCAGATCCGCATTGCAGCGCTGAACGCGAGCTCCACGGTTGAGGATGACTATGAAGGTACCTTCAAAAGCCATAAAACACAGACCAAGGAAGCTCAGGTGAGTCATTCCACAGTTGTCTGTCGCAGACATCTTTCATGAAAAATCCTTTCTTAGGATTTTTCCTTGTGAGAAGCTGCAGTTTCAAGAACCAAAGTAAACAATGGTTATCTGCTGCTGTAGAATGTAACAGGTAGACCTGGGATTGGTCTCCTGTGGATGTTTGGATTTCTTGACCACTCATGGCAGAGCTGGCTCTTGCTCTGTCTGAGACACAGATCTTTGTTATTCATTCTTTTCTATTCTTAGCTTAGCTAGCTTCTGAAGAAACCTTTTCCTTTCTATTGCTTTTTAGTATAGTCTAATGTAACATATATCATAAAATAATAAATCAAGCCTTCTGATCATAGAGTCAACATTCTCATCTCTTCTTCATCCTGAAACCCCTTGTGACCACAGTCACAGTTGTCTTAAGGAAGTTTTGTCCTCTAGTTATAGGGATTTGTTCAACCATGATATTTTGTTCTTATGTAAGTTTAGTTACTCTTTCTCTTGAACCCTCCTTTAGCAAACTAAAACTTCATTCAGATGAGTTATTTTAGGACAGTAACACAAACATTCTGCTGTGTAGCAGAAAGTATTAAAAGTGTGAAACCACTGAAATACATAAATAACATACTTCATAAAGTTGTCTTAATAAATACATTCTAATTATTTCAATCACAGGAAGCAGAAGCTTTTGCTTTGTACCACAAAGCTCTGGACCTTCAGAAACATGACAGATTTGAAGAGTCTGCTAAAGCTTATCATGAGCTACTTGAGATTCGTCTTCTGAGGGAGGTCAGTGACCTGGGGAGAATGACACTCTAGAAACTGTTTGCTGTGTTTTGTCTTACTTCAGTTCTAACTGGCTATCTAGAAATGTTAGTACTTGTTCCTTGTCTAATTCCTAATGCCCACGTTGTATGTATTTTATAATTTCTAGGCAGTTCTTTCTGGTGATGAGAAAGAAGGGCTGAAACACCCAGGTTTGATGTTAAAATACTCCACCTATAAAAACCTAGCACAACTGGCAGCACAGCGGGATGACTTAGAGACAGCCATGGAGTTCTATCTGGAGGTACAGTGCAGCTGAAATTAGACACTGGAGTCTAAATCTTTGTAAAATCTTCCTAAAATACAGACAGACACATCAACATACATCAGACAGACACATCAGCATACATCATGTCAGTGTACAGTTGAATACTATATTCTTTCTGATGCTATATGGGATAAAATTGGTCCACCAAAGCAGTTGTGGTCCTGCTGCAAACTCAAGCAGTGCCAATCCCTGCAGCAAGGTGGGTTTGCATGTGTGAAATGTGGGTGATTTGTTTGTTGTGCTTTCCAGGCTGTAATGCTGGACTCCACCGATGTCAACCTGTGGTATAAAATTGGTCGTGTGGCAATAAAGCTGATCCGCCTGCCCTTGGCTCGTCACGCTTTTGAAGAAGGGCTCAGGTGCAATCCTGATCACTGGCCTTGTTTGGATAACCTTATCACAATTTTGTATACACTCAGTGACTACACCAGTGAGTACAATGCATGAAAAGCATCTTGGTATGTGTGTGATTTTACATACCAAGACAAACTGTAACAATGAAATCTGTAGGTTGAAGTGTATCTTGCTGAAGCAATGCAGCAGGGTTTGATAGAGACTGCTACTTCATGGTAGAGATTTTACTGAATTCTAAAGCATGGTGGTTTAGAGAAGTTTTATTATTTATTTTTGGTTGCCCTAAAAATAAATGTCTGTGGTCTCACAGATCAGAGCCTCTGCAGGAAGTTCCCTGTACACTGTTCCTCTGCCTTTCCACGTATGTTGGTTTTGGCTTTCTAGTAATTTTCCTGCTGCATAGCACTAGGGTTTGGGTATAAATCTACAGTCTCCTTCATAGCCTGGAAGGGTTAATTGTAGTTACAGCACTGGATGCACTGCTTGCTTCACTAATGGAATCTGCAGTTATCAAAGACATTTCATAACATAAAAATGGTGAATAATTGTGTTTCTGTTTATGGTTCTAATTTCCTCTGTGCCAGAACAGGCTTGAAAGTAAGTGAAAGATGTACTGCAAACATTGTTTAAACAAAATTAATTACATTCTTTTTCTGGATACAGTACCTAGGAAGACACAATACTCTATTTTAACTCTATGCATGTAATTATTTGACACCTTACAAAGCAATTAGACTAACTTATGTAAATGTCACATTTGGGTGGAATTCAGTGGTGTATGTGAGGCCCAGAAATGGGAGCTTTGAATGAACCAAAGCAGCCATTGACCATTCCATTTTTATTTCTCTGTTAGCATGTTTGTACTTTATCTGCAAAGCTCTGGAAAAAGATTGTCTGTACAGCAAAGGATTGGTTCTGAAGGAGAAGATCTTTGAGGAGCAGCCTTGCCTCCAGAAAGATTCCTTAAGGATGTTCCTCAAATGGTGAATGTTGTCTTAGAGTATATACTGCCTTTGGAGTGTGAATTTTGGGTTTGGGGTTGCTCAGAAAACCTGCTGAGATCTTGTGCTTTTTAGCTTGCTGACCTTCCTTCTGAATAACAACGTGTTGATGCTGCTGACAGAATGTTCTTCAGGAATTCCTTTTGGAGGGAGGTAGAAAGAGGAAAATAATCCATTTGTTGCTGCTCATTTATTTTCATATCTAAATCTCTTGTAATCATCTGCCTTTGTTTTACTAATTAGTTCCTGATCCCTGCAGCATTCACTTTAGTTTTCCTAATTAAAACAAACCAATAACGACCAAAACCAAAACAACTCTCACTCCCCCCAAGAAAACCTCACCAAACACTCCCCACATGTTACTGCTTTTCTTCCTGTATGGATTTTACAGTAGGAGTGGGTAGGAGCAAAGTGGGAAGATAGAGGCCCATAAAATTTATAGGATGTGTCTAAGTTATCAGATCATTCAGAACAAAGATTTCTGATGGTTGACACATCCATATGTGTGCCATAAAGTTGGTGAGATGATATTGTGTGAATGCTTCTTTTAACGCTGTTTTTGTTACCTTATATGATGCTATTAAATGAATCCCCTCTAAGCTTTAATAAAAAAAAACAAACCAGCAAACAAAACCTTCCACTTATCTCCATTTTTGATTATTTCTCAGTGACATGTCCATCCATAATGTGAATGTGGGTGCAGCTGAAGCAGGAAGGATCATAAATGAGGCGCTGGAGCTCCGTAAGAAGAGACAAGCGCTGCTGGTGCGCGACAGAGAGCCAGACCTCAGACTGGTGCAGCCAATTCCCTTCTTCACGTACGTCTTGGTGTCTTCTCTTTGCAGCAAGATCCTCTGAAGCACATACTCTGACAACTGTCTTGTGCTTCAGATTTCTTCAAAACACCTTTTTTTATCCTTGTAAAAACAAACCAACTCCCCCAGCGTTTTCTTATTAGGTTATAGGTTAGTTTGGTGTGCTTATGGTTTTAGCATAAACCCCACAGCTATTAGTTCTCAACTTTTGATTTTAAACCAGTGATGCAAAAAATAAACCTGGTATCTGAGAATGATTTGGCAGCTATTCCAATGTATTACTGGATTTTTTATATATGACTAGTTTGTATGTGAATTTCCAAGCAAATTTAGCTTTTAAAAATTGCTTTTACTATTGAGATAATGAAAACTCAGAAAAAATTTGCAGTTCTTTATTTGCAGGAAGATACAAGGATACTAGTAAGTTGTTTTGTATGTCTTTATTAAGGCATAAAGAATTGGGGTTTGGTTTTTGTATTGCACACATTTTTCTGGAATATTAATGGACTCTGCATGTAGTTCATATTGCTGAGAAGTTGTTTCTTCTTGTGAAGAGGGATGAGTTCTTCTAGTGTTGTTGATTGAATTCAGAACCTGAAAATTTTCGTTGACATTACTCTATACCAAAAGCTAAAAAAAAGTAATTTCCTCAGCAACTACTGCATGGACCTTGTGTTTTTAGAGGAAATTTTGGAGTGATGGGACAGGTTTTTGACACTCAGGTGTGTATTGCTGTCCCACTGAGAAGCTCCTCTTGCTATCTCTAAGCTATTAGTGAAAAAACAATGTTGAATGCTGTTAGGTTTGTAACCATAATATAGAAAATACTGTGACAAGAAGTGAAGATATTGTGATGCCATTGTGTTTCCCTTGCAGGTGGAAGTGTTTAGGAGAAGCCTTGCTTGCCATGTATCAGCACCTCACAACATGTGATCCTCCTCGCCCCAGTCTGGGCAAGAGGATTGATCTCTCCGAGTACAGAGACCCAGTTCAACATCTGATGCTTTCTCCCACCTCCACTCCTGTCAGTGTGATTCAGCCAACTCCTGTCAGCACCAATGCAGTGGTGACAATGCCAGATCCTGTATTGCCTTACACTCCAACCACACCCAACTTCCCAAGTCACAGCCAGAGTTCATTGGAGCCAGGAGCTCCTGTAGGTGAGCAAGGTACTTCAATCTAAGATTCAAGATACCTTTTCTACTTGTCTGGGTATAAAAACATTTCAGAATTCTTTGGGACATGCTGTTGTTCAGCTGCATGTTGGTGGAGTCAGCAGCTTTTCAGCATATGTGTAACACCTGATAGAGAAATTGAAGGAGTATCTGATCTTTTCTGGTTTTGTGCTGTTACCCCACACTTGAGTTTTTCAGTCTTTAGGATGAGAAAAATTGTGACTCCATTCCAGCAGTGATGCATATCAAAATTCCATGCTGGGAGCTCCTTAGAATGAATGAGCTGTTTTACAAAAAGATGATTATTTTTCTGCTCATATGTCACTTTAAGAAGCTGAGAAGACCAAGCTGTCAGCTATATTTATTTGAAATCTATACAAGATTTTTTTGGCACTGTCTTCAGAAGGAAACCAATGAATCTCAAGTGTTGCTGCGTAATTATGTTTTTAAAAATAAAAAAGATTACTCACTTTTTATTTGTCAATTTAACCTGTCAGGTTTGGGGTTTTTTTTCATTATGTTTTTAGGTGACATATCTGCAGGTGATAAATCTAAGAAAGGAGTGAAGAGAAGAAGAATTACAGAAGATAGTGGTGAAACAGCCAAAAGGAGATCTGCCAGAGTTCGGAACACCAAGTGTAAGAAAGAGGAGAAGGTTGACTTTCAAGAGCTGCTGGTGAAGTTCCTTCCTTCCAGGTACTGCACTGAACACCTTTCACTGGGAGATGATCACAGATATGAAGCTGTTTGGGATTTTGTTTGATTGATACCCCCCAACCTTAAAACTACCAGTTCCATGGTTTGTTTTTGTTTTTTTTTGAAGCAGATGTGGTGCATTATCTTCTGATAAATGTAATAATATTTCTTTTAGTAAAAATTACCGAATAAAAATTAAAAAATAGCTTTTACTACTGTTAAAGTGAATTAGTGGACAATGCACATATCAAAATGGATAAGGTAAAGTAATCTTGATTTGGATGAAAGGAACTGGATGCAAATCTCTGAATTTGTTTCAGTAATATATTCTCACTGTTAAAATTAACATTGTTTCATATTTAGATGTTATATAGTAATGAAAGAAAGAATGAGGACTTTGTTGATATTGTGGGTTTTCCCCCCTTTCACACAGATTAAGGAAATTAGACCCTGAAGAGGAGGAGGACCCTTTCAATAACTATGAGGTGCAATCAGAGATCAAAGAGGAGAATTTTCAGCATCTTGGACCACACAGAATGTCATTTGATTCTACAACATTTATGGAGTCTGGTAGGCATTGCATTATAACCCCTGTTCTTTCTTCCTTGGCTTTGCCATATTGTATGCTTTATTTTCTGTATTTTCCTGTCATGCCTAGAAGATACAGAAGTGTATTTTAAAAAGTATAATTTTATAGCATAGAAGTATCTCAGTTGGTACTAATTTTTTAAGTCTTGGGGAATTGCTCAATCCCTGTGTGCAGGAGCCCTGTTGTGTGGAATTTCCATTTAAACACATTGGAATACAGTAACTGAATTCTGCACATATGAAGTGCAGAACTGCTGTGATATAAGTGCCCAAAACACTGTTGAAACTTAATTCTTTCAAGTTATGATCTGCCTCAACCTTAGATGTAGGCCTTTGTGTTTATCTGCTTTCTAGAAAAACAGGATGTTCATGAATTCCTGCTGGATAACCTGAACAATGGTGGAATCTTGGAGCTGATGATGAGATATCTGAAAGTCATCAGCCAGAAGTTCCTGGTGAAGTGGCCTCCTGGCCTGTGTGAGGTGGTGCTCAGTATCTATAACAGCTGGAGGAAGCACAGCAGTAGCCTCCCCAACCCGCTCCTGAGGGACTCGAGTAACCAACACATCAAGGTAGAGCAGCACCTTTCCTTGTTCCATATTTGCTGTTGTCCTGATGTGGGTGTGCCCAAAGTACCCAGCTGAAGTGCCCAGACACAGCTTTGGCTCAGCTCTGCTTGTCCCAGCTTGGTTACTGTCCCAAACTTGGGTGCACTGCAGCTCCTGGAGCTGTTTGTGAGCTGAGCACACCTGGGGGATGCTACATGCAGCTCTGACCTGTGTGGATGCACACAGACACCCAGAGAGAGGTAATAAACACAGAGATATTTTACCCCTTTATTCTCTTGTTGCTCCTTTTCCTCCCCTCCTTCCTTTTCTTCTGACATGACACAGTTTTGTTTTGTCATCAGGTCAGTGCAGAGGCTGCTGTGTTCTCACTGGCTGATTGAGGGTCAGCATTGCTGCTTTAAATAGAATAAATACTCTCTGGTTTGAAGATAACCTGAAATTTACAGCAAAAAACCAAACAACAACAAAAACAAGCCAAAACCACCTCCTCAGCATCACCATTTTATTACCTTTATAAATCTGGAATTTCCTGAAAGCAGAGAGAAAAAACAATAAGTTCTTTACATTACTGTTAAACCACATTAATGATTGAAGATGATATTTCTTGAATTATAAAACCAGTTCTGATAATTCTTGGCCACTGAGCCAGCCTATGTTATCTTTTTAATGTTAGCAGTCTGTATTCAATTGGAAGTTATTTGCCTTTGGTATGACTTCAGCTGGAAATTTTTTTTCAGATCAAGTGTTTTTACTTCTTTGCAAATGAAATATTAATTATGAAAATTGCTGTGTTCCATTGATGCCATTTGCAAAACAAACAAAAGTGCCTCTATGTAGCAGATGTTAAATTTTTATACATCCTGTGACTTATTTATGTATATATTTCACATATACGTGCCTTCTTTAAACAAATGTAAATATATTTATAAATGTATTCCCTTGGCTCTCATTATTACTGCATAACTGCTTACTTTTCTTAAATTTTGTCTTATTTTTCAAATGTCAGTGCTACTGCTATATTCTGGAATCGTGCTTTTGGCATGAATTGGCAATTTAATATAGTTTTATTTCAGCCAAATTAAAAAGTAAGGATGACTAATTTTTTCTAACATCAGGCAATGCTGTTCTGACCTTTTTCCATGAACTGAGATTTTTCTTTTTTAATGGTTCTGAGTATTGTTTGGCTTTGTACCTGTTGATTTGTCAGTTACTGTACACCTCAGGCAGTTATTGTGCACCTTTCAGGCAGAAGAAGTAGATACAGCTTGGGAATAGAAATCCCAAGAGGACAAGATGAAGGCTTTCTTTGAAGTAAATTGCAAATGTAGTGATTTTTTAAAAATTTATGCTTCTTTTAATGTATTTCTTGCTGTGAACACTCTTTTGATATCTCCTTACTTTTTCTGAAGGATATGATGATAATGAGCCTTTCTTGCATGGAGCTGCAATTAGATCAGTGGCTACTGACAAAAGGGAAGAGTTCTACAGGTGAGAACTGAAATTTTCTTCAGACTCTAAAAACACTGGGAGCGTATGGAGAAATGTTTCCAGGAATTCACTGGATTTTGGAGCTATTTTGTCTCAATATCTTTCAGATCTGTGTTTTATTGCTCTATCAATGTTTGCCTTCAGGCAGATCAGACCTTTGAGATTCTGTGACGTGGAACTCTTTCCATGGGATGCTGTAACTTCATGATAAAATGTACTTAATTGACTTGCAGTTTCTCCAAGAAATTGTCCTGCTGCCTCTGTGAATGGCAAGTTTGGTCCTGACTTCCCAGGAACTCACTTTTTGGGAGACCTGCTGCAGCTGTCATTTGCATCCTCACAGCGAGATTTGTTTGAGGAAGGCTGGATGGAGTTTGTCACTCGGGTCTATTGGCTCAAGGCTCGGTTTCTGGCACTGCAGGTGGGCTCCACTTTTGGTTTAACAAACACAGCTTGTCCCAAATTCAAGTCAATACGTTGTCATCTTATTGCAGGGGTTCCATGCTGTTGTGTCCTTATCACAAGAGTTTCACACCTTCCTGGTGATTCTCGTGGGCAGCTCCTCAGAGCCCTGGCTCTTTCTTCTTTACAAAGGAACCAACTGACTCCAGCTGGCAACTTTGTGAAAGAGTGAGGCTTTGGTAGTTTGAATATTACATCAAGTAATATTTACAAAGTAACCAACTGACTCCATTTGGCTACTTTGTGAAGGAGGGAGGCTTTGGTAGTTTGAATATTATGTCAAGGCTGCCCTCTCTTTTTCAAAGAGAGCCACCCCCACTCTTTTATAGCATCTTCTTCTCATTGCTTACAGCTGTGGCCTGGTAAAGTCAGGCCTGTTCCTAAGCTTTGATAACTGGCCCAGCTGCAGCTCCTTAGGGGTAAGATTACTTTCTACACTATCTTTATTTTCTTATCTTCTATCCCCCTACAAATATTGTTCGGATGCAGCTGATTCAGGAATCTCAACTCTTTCAGGCATGTGGATAAAATCAGCTTAAAACATAGTGATTTCATTTTGCTTCTAAATATAATTAACTTCCCCTGAGGGTTGAGGTGGAAATGAAGTAGGAGGTCTCACATGCTTAGCAAATATTCAGATATGTTTAATAAATGTCTTTGTTTAAATGAACTTGTACTCAGCTTAAAAACAATATTTGTACTAAAGTTACCTAGAATAGTGTTGTGGAGCTGCAGAACATAAGATTTTTGAGGGCCTGGATTCATGGACACTATCAGAGTCTCAGGAACACCAAAATTCAGATTGAACTGAAACAGACTCTTTTTTTTTTACTGTTCCCTCTGCTTTTTCAAGGTGGCATGGTTCTGCTTTTGAAGATTTTTAATTTAACATGCAAATTTTGAAGCAGAGGGTTTTAAGCCTATCACTAAGGGAATAATTTGAAAGAAATGTTATTTGATCCCAGTCTTTTTCTTCCTCTCTGTTGCTTTCCCAGGACATCAAAGAGGGTTTTTTAATGCAATAATTATGTTTAAATCTCGTGTCAACTAGTTATGTGAGTCAGTTTCATAAGTGTGAACTAACTTGGTCCTTCCCCTTTTTTTCCCCTGCATCTAAGGATTCCTTTCTAATAAAGTTATTTAGGAAAAGTGAGAGTTCCTATACAACTACTGGCATTTTTTTCCTTGTGATATGCAGAGTTGTATTTTGCCTGTGCATGCTTTCCTAACATCTCAATTTCAGTAACTACTTTACACAGAGCAAGTCGAATTCATTCACTTTGTGGAATAGATGAATGTTTCTTTACTCAGTGTTTTAATTTGCACAAATGGAAGAGTTATTTCTGCTGGTTTACTCTTCTGCCTTTTTAAAGGAAAGGGATTTTAGCACTCCAGACCAATCTTACAAATTTATGCAGGCTGAATTCCATTTTTCTGATTTGTTTTATCCATTATTGAAATAATTGGTAAGATATTTTAAAATATTTTTGCTTTAATTTGAGCTATTCAGTTGAATTTATGTTATAATTTTTGAGGACATGCAGTAAGCACACTGGCAGTGCCTGCATTAAATTTAACCATTTTCTACAAGTTTTGGAGACTTTCTGCAGTGAGAACTGTAGGATTTTTTTGGTTGATTGTTTTCCTCTGTACTGTTTCTATAGGGAGACATGGAACAGGCTCTTGAAAACTATGATATCTGCACTGAGATGCTGCAGAGCTCCAGCAGCAGCCAGGCTGAGGCTGGCAGTGAGAGCAGCATCGTGATCCGCCTGCCCAACCTGCACGTGGATTCTGTGGTGTCCTTGGAAGAGGTGAGAGCTCATTTGCAGGGTGTGTTCCCTCTTCCATCCCTCACACTCCATCTCTCCCAGTTTCAAATGTCACCTGTGAATTAGTGCTTTTGTGAGGGAAGTTTAGTGCACCTCAGAGTGAGGGTTTGGTATTTTGAATATTATGTCGAGGCTACCCTCTCTTTTTCAAAAACTACACTTTTTGTATCTGTTGGTCCTGTAGATTTTTAGATTGCTTTTATGCAAAATAAAAACATTAAAGCAGCTGCATGCATTAAAGCAGCAGTGGATTATTGAATCAGTGTTTTCCTTTCCCTTTCCTTTCCCTTTCCTTTCCCTTTCCTTTCCCTTTCCCTTTCCCTTTCCCTTTCCCTTTCCCTTTCCTTTCCTTTCCTTTCCTCTCCTTTCCTCTCCTCTCCTCTCCTCTCCTCTCCTCTCCTCTCCTCTCCTTTCCTTTCCTTAACATTGAGAGCTAAACTGCTGGGAGAAGTGTCAGTAGTCAAATATCTGTGAAAACAAAAGTTAAGATTGTATCATCTGTGATGTTTGCAGATTGAAAAGAACCTAAAATCCCTGGAGAGATGCCAGTCTTTGGAGGAGATCCAGCGGCTGTATGAGGCAGGGGACTATAATGCAGTGGTGCATCTGCTCAGGCCAACCTTGTGCTTCAATGGGTATGGCAGAGCCAAACACCTGGAGTTTGTCACCTCCATACCTGAGAGACCAGCTCAGCTGCTTCTCCTCCAGGTTTGCTTTGTTTCATTCAAAATCTGTTTCAGTAAGGAATTAAGACTTATTCCTGAAAACAGGAGGGAAGGATTTCTGGAGTGGCTGTTAACAGTTGTGAGTCTAATTTACAAAGCCAAGCATGGAACCAAACCTGTGAATGCTCTGAGGATCACAGCTTTGTTGCCATCACTAGCAATGTGCCAGCTTTTGCTGACTGAGAGTATGGCTAAAGATGCAAGATGTTGAGGCCTCCATGGAATGAACAGAAACTTGAGTTTCCTGAGTTATTTTATGGATGAATTCATGCTACTGTTGACTATATGGTGACTTAGAACCATTCTGAAACTTGGTTATCTAGCATATGAATGATTTTTATGTTGTAAAGACTCTCTCCTGCATGAATGAGGAGCTGTTGATACATGCATTATAATTGCTGTAGAGTTAGACCATTTGACACTGTAAAAATAAGTGTATAATAAGTGTATTAATGAGCTCAGCTCAGGTGAGTATATTAGGTTAGTTGGGGGAAAAAAGTTTGCAGAAAAAAAGGCTGATGGGTTTTTAATTGCACAGAACCCAGTCCTACATTTTCCATGGTTTCTGGTGACCCAACCTCTTCAGAGTAGAAAGATCAGAAGTTGCTATTCCACTGGCCTTAGAGTTGCTACTTTGTTATTTATGAAGTAATGAAATGGTAGCACGAGATCATAAAGATCCAAACCCTGTTTCTTGTAAGGGCTTTATTCAGCTGTAGATCATTAGAATTACAGCCCTACAGCCATCTCTTTCCTATTTTCTTTCCTTGCATCTTTTATTAAAGCAGAAAGATGTGATGATTTTTTTGTATTTAGATCCTACTTGTGTATTTGTCATCCAGGATCCATGCACCTCCTATTGTCCTTTTAATGTTGCATTTAAAGTTGTTGCTTCATTTCATTGAAATCATCACATTTACTGAGTATAGTGTTTTGCTTTGCCCTGCTGTGCATTCATGTTTAAAATAAACTCCTCATTGTTATAATAGATCTTTTTCATATTTACATTCCCTAGGACTCCCTGCTCAAACTGAAAGACTACAAGCAATGCTTTGAATGCTCAGATGTTGCCTTGAATGAAGCAATTCAGCAGATGATTAATATGACAGCACCCTCTGCTAAAGAGGAGTGGGTTGCTACAGTAACACAGCTGCTGACAGGAATAGATACTTCATTATCCTCAGTTAACAGCATCCTGAAAGACTCCTCTGTCACACCGAGCCTGGTGCGCTTAACAAACAACCTGATCCAGGTAAGGCATGGCCTGGCACCAGGAGGTGTGCTGTGTGCTGCAGGGCTCAGGGCAGGCTGCAGGGCTCAGGGCAGGCTGCAGGACTCAGGGCATGGTGCAGGACTCAGGGCAGGCTGCAGGAGGGCTCAGGGCAGGCTGCAGGAGGACTCAGGGCAGGCTGCAGGAGGACTCAGGGCAGGCTGCAGGAGGACTCAGGGCAGGCTGCAGGACTCAGGGGATGATGCAGGGCTCAGGGGATGCTGCAGGACTCAGGGGATGATGCAGGGCTCAGGGGATGCTGCAGGACTCAGGGCAGGCTGCAGGACTCAGGGCAGGCTGCAGGACTCAGGGGATGCTGCAGGACTCAGGGCAGGCTGCAGGACTCAGGGCAGGCTGCAGGGCTCAGGGCAGGCTGCAGGACTCAGGGCAGGCTGCAGCTGCTGGCTGAATTCCCACCCACTCCTGGTGGTGCCTTTGGTTACATTGCTGTTACATTTTTGGGAAGGTGGGTGTTACCATTCTGTCTGCAGTGTGATAGAGCTGCACTGAGCACACACCTGTGCTAGATCCACTACCAAGCTGCCTAAAACAATCAAATATGGTGGTAAGATAACCCAGCACTGGGGTTTTAGGCTATTTGAAGTAGTGATAATGTGAAGATTGACTGAGCTGCCTGGATGTAGCCTGTAAGTTCTGGTTCTGATCTTGCCCTTATGTGCTTCAGGCTGGAGGGCAAGGCCCCATAAGCCTTACAGGCATGGTAGAATTGCTTGCAAGTGCTGGCCAAAGGAAATGATTTTCTGGTAAAAACAGAGAGGGTGATGTGAACAGGGCAGGGGAAGAGTGAAATGTGAATTTCTAGAATCACTTCTAGAATTATGAATGCAGCTAATTTTAGCCTTTTACAGAAGGTACTTTCAAACCTCAAAACTGAATGAGTGTTTTCAGTCCAAGTAACAAATGGCAGACTTACAAATGGCAGTTCTGTTAAGAAGCAGGTCTAGTTAATGTCAAAATTCAATGTGCTTGCAATTCTCAAATCCCCACTTACTTCTGTAAAAGCCAAGGAGCCTTCACTACTTACAGAATCATACTCTTATTGTGTAAAGTTGTATGTTTTATGAAATGTAATGGAATTCTGGAGAACAGAGTGTTCAGGCCCATCATTTATGTAGCATCTTTAATGATTCTAATTGGTCTTTAACAGTTGTTGTAACACCTGTGCTAGAATTCAGGAATTTTTGTAAGTTCCTCTGGATCTGGGTTGTAGGGAAATTTCTTGTACAGTAATGAGGCCTAGTAATGCTGAGAATTGATGCTGTGTGTTTGGTCACTATGAATTGCTCATATAGGATATTAACAGAAACACATCTAGGTGGAAAATGGGGTGGAAGAGGAATATCAGAGTAGGGCAAATAATCTCTTCCCCTAGTAGTTGATTTACCTCTAGCATTTTTACAGTCACTTGTGAGAAGCTGAGACTCAACTTTAGATTATTTCCTTGGGGTAAAATGTGCAGCCAATTTTGGGTTGTTTGGGGAGGATTCACAGCTGACCTGTGTTTCCATCACTTTGTCTGTATAATGTGTGTTTCTTTCTTAGATCATAGACTGCAGCATGGCTGTCCAGGAAGAGCCAAAAGAGCCCTATGTGTCCTCAGTGCTTCCATGGATTATCCTGCACAGGATCATCCAGCATGAGGAAGATGCTTTTCGGTCCCTTTGCTGCCAGCAGCAGCAGAACCAGGGAGAAGAAGGTGGATTATTTCTTCACTTTTACATATTGCACCTGAGCTCTTTCCCATCTAGCTCAGGAGTATAAGTAGTGAAATACTTGTTTGCTGTCTTACCTTGCTGGCTGAAGGGAGGAGAGGGCTATGCAAACATCACTTTCCACCAGAGAGGAAGCTGTTTGCCAGTTGCAGCATTGACTCAGATTTAATTCAGTTCTGTGCTACTTTAATATTTACCAATTTCTTTCTTCCAGTGAGTCCTGATACCCCTATGTTGCCTTCTTCCCTTATGCTGTTGAACACAGCTCATGAGTATTTGGGAAGAAGATCCTGGTGTTGCAATTCAGATGGTGCTCTGCTCAAGTTTTATGTAAGTAGAAATTGTGGAATAACTGAGAGTGATTCTGATTGATCTCTGAAAATCATCTGGCCAAGTCCTCTCCCAAAGCAGGAAACAAAGTTCAAAGTTAGATTGTTTATTGCCTTATCTTCATGTTAAAGATACACTTTTAAATCCACTTTCTGGTTTCTCCCAGACAAACATATGAAAGTTTCAGTCAGTTTAATCTGAATTGTTATTCCAGACCCTTTTCTATTGGTCTGCTTCTGTCATACTCCCCATTGTTCCCTGGACTTGCTTCACTGAGAAGAAGAATTGTTTTATTCTCTTTTTTCTCCTTTCTTTTTGCTTCTTGCACTTGTATTCTATTTTGTTCATGGGATTTGAAAGGGAAGTAGGAATAACCAAGCAGTTGGATAGTACTGTATATCATTCAGGAGCTAAAAAAACCTGTTGTGTTACATCTTTAAAATTGCTGCTAAAATAACACAGTGGGATTCCATATTCATCTTGTCTCAGTGGTTCTAAATAAGTTGCTCACTTCACAGGACTGAATTTGTCAAGTGTTAGGTGGGGTTTGCACATTTCAGTGTACATAAATACTGTTTATTGTGTAAAAAGAACATATTCAAACTTTCAGCCAAGAAAATTCAGTTTTGAACAGCTTGGTTGTTTGTTTCTTCCAAATCATGAGAGTAAAGATTTGCAGCCCATCATCTGTCCTCAGTTACACAACTGGAATGCTCCTGATTGCTCCCACATCCTGGGGTGTTACCTGGATTTGCTCTGAAGCTGTGATGCATTTAATTGTTCTCTGGTTGATAAATTTGCCTTGTTTGATTGTACTTACCTTGATTTTATACCACAGCCTGAAACAAATAGCAATTCTATTGTTTTCATGTTATTAACTAAATATTATTTAAAATACACACACACAGTTGATCTGTTGAACAATGATGAGAATGAAGAACTACTTTAGCCCTCCATTTTCCTGTGTGTTAAGTCTGTTCTTTGCTCTGTTGTTCAGATGGGTGTGTTACATCTCATCTCTTGTGCTCCAGGAATGGGTGTCTGGGCACTAATACTGTAGCATTATTAGATAAAAGGACTTACCCATTCATGATTGACCCTTTTAAGATTATTCCTTGAGGTCTCATTGTTACACCCGAAAAGAAATTTCCCCTGGTTAAATAGAATATTTCTATTTGTTTGCTCATCTTCTCTTAGCTCAGAAAGTCAAGTGTTTCCTGAGCAGAGCACTGGCAGCCTGGGACAGCCTGGCTGCTGGCAAACCCCAGATAATGCAGTGCCATGGCATCCACTGGGCCCTCCACAGGGACATTTCAGGGGCACTTTGCAGATTCAGCTTGACTTCACTGAGGTTTATTACCTTCAGCCAAGAGAAAATCATGATTAGTTCTGCATAGAGCTACTCAGGAATCTCCTAATTTCCCTTCTCAGCACTCCCTGGAGCTTATTAGGCACAGCTCAGTGCCAGACCCCATCTCCCTGTGCATTTGAGCAGTGGCATGTCCAGGACAGTAATTTACACAGCTGGGAAGGACGGCCCAGAGAGCCTGAGGGCTGCTGCAGGAGTCAGCAGTGAATGAGCAGGGTTTGAACTGAGGCTGATTCAGGCTGGAACCATCAGATCATCTCTGTGTCCTGCTCTCCCCAGCCTCCCTGGTGGCAGGAGCATAATGCTGATGCTCCAGAGCTGGCCCTGCAGGGACTCCAGAGGGTTTGTTAGCTCAGACCCTGTGCTTCATGGAAATGGATGGGCTGTTCCCAGGCTGTCGTGCCCTGAAGTGAAGAGTCTGAATTGTGCCTGAAAAATGTGCTGTACCCACAGCCTGGGGAGTGACAGAGTATGGGCTGGCAACCTGGGCAAAGTGCAGATGACTTTGTTATTTATGAAATAATGAAATGGTAGCATGAGATCTGGCAATGTATTTGCAGTGAGATCTTTGCAAATATCATCAGCTACTTCAAACAAAATGTTCCATTTTCACTGACAGAATTGCCAGCTTCTTAAACTAAAATATATTATAGTGTTATTAAACACAAGAATTCAGTTTTCAGAGTTTTCAGAGACAAGAGGGTGTTGGAAGGATAAGGAAAGACAAAGATAAAATGGGATGAATTATTTGAGGAGAAAGGCAGCTTCAAGAATGTGAACTGTGTGTTTCATAGATTAGTGCTAAGTGGTCACCTACTGTAGGTGAAATGTCTGCTCAAGGTCCTTATATTGCTTGGGGATGAATGTGCTGTGCAAGAGAAGGTGTTAATATTAATTAAGGCCTTTAGCAATAGTCTGAATTATTAGGAACAATTCTGGATTTCTGCCAAGAACTTGAAAGTTGAATAGTAACAAAGGAGATTTTGAATGCTGTTCAAGTGACAATTCTGTTACTGCTGTTAGATGTGCTTTTGTTTGTAGCAGTAGGAATATAAGGCTTTTGTTACAATATCCTCTGATGCTCACTGTTTTTCTTCAGCTTATTTAGCTACCCTTTCTGTAAATTTCAAATGTTGATCACAAATTCATACAGGGAAAGTGCTGGCAATAAGGTGTCTGCTGGGACTCAGTATGAATGAGTCTGCTGTGACTCCAGATGTCATTGAAATGCTTTCTAAGAATTGTCTTTGCTTTTCTTTTTCAGGGGTTTGGCTCTTAATAAAGAGTACCTTGATCTTAGCACAGATATTTTAATCAGAAGAGAATCAGCATCTTCTATTTAATTCCAGCTCTTATAAACGAGCTCCTTACATGTAGAAAGTTAGATTTTTGCCTTGTCATGCAGTGTTTGTATTGACAGAAAGCTTTGTGTAGGATCATGCATAAATAATTGAGTTTGAAGTCCTAGATGTTGAAAAATGAAAAATGGTCACAAATAAACATTTCTTTTTAAAATTGAAATTCTATTGTGGAACGCATTGAAATTGAGTCTTAAACCTCAGTGGTTGTGTGGGTCTTGACTTGGTTATGAAATAAATATCCAGAATACCCCTACACAGGTTATTCTTGGTGAACATATTTTTATTGACCTTGAAATGTCTTCTTGGAATATATTCCTTTTGGGTTTGTTTTTTATGAAAGCTTAGTGAGACTTTTCAAAGAGTTACCTTTCTTCTTTTGGCATTCAGCTGCAGTTTTTATAATGAATGTCTTAAACTATCAGCATCTTCCAAAATATTCTACTGATGGGTGCTTTCTCTTGTGGTGTTGAAGGTAAAGATAGCAACTTGCTACAGTGTTTAGTAATTTGGGATCAATCCAGCCACTTTCCTTGGTGTGCAGCCATCTGTGTAATACTGTTCATACTGTTCAATTCTAGAGTCCCTTTAGCCAGATTTTCATTAACTCTCTCTCTTCTTTTGCTGCCAAGTCCTCTCCATCCTGCTTTTTTCATGCAGAGGAAATTGCTGGTTGTGAGTTAGGACAGAAATTCTTCTGTACCTTTTCCTTATTCACAGCATTGATGAACTGTAGTTCACAGTTACATTCACAGAAGCAGCTTGGTGTGTAGGGGAGAACTTTGAATGATTTTAAATCTGAAACATGAAGCTGATATTTAACCTCATTGATTAAAGATAAGTGCCTGTGGATTAATACAGGAAAAAAAAATAAAAGCACTTCAATGCTGCTGCAGGGCCAGTTTACAGAAATACATGAGTAATATTGGGGAAATTTATTGTTATTGGGGAAAAATCCATTAAAAATCTCTTAAAATCCCTTGAAGTTGTTTTCTTCACCTGCCTTCAGCCAGCTGGGCAGCTCACTGTGAGCTTGGTGTGTAGGGGAGAACTTTGAATGATTTTCACTCTGAAACATGAAGCTGATATTTAGCCTCATTGATTAAAGATAAGTGTCTGTGGATTAATACAGGAAAAAAAAATAAAAGCACTTCAATGCTGCTGCAGTGCCATTGGAATGACTTGTGTGAGACCAGTTTACAGAAATACATGAGTAATATTGGGGAAATTTATTGTTATTGGGGAAAAATCCATTAAAAATCCCTTGAAGTTGTTTTCTTCACCTGCCTTCAGCCAGCTGGCAGCTCACTGTGATGTGCAGGTGACCTTGTCCTTGGTGCTTGCCTTGTAGGTTCAGGTACTACAGAAAGAACTTGCAGCTTCCACTTCTGAAGATACTCATCCATACAAAGAAGAGCTGGAAACAGCCTTGGAACAATGTTTTTATTGTTTATATGGTTTCCCTAGCAAAAAAAGCAAAGCAAGGTACCTAGAAGAACATTCAGTACAGCAGGTAAGTTATGTCTTATCCAATGTCAGTGGAATATCCTGAACTGATGAAAGATGCATTCTTATTTTATTATGCACTTTGATGTATTTTTGAGAAAGATTACTTTTATTTCCTTGTAAATCTTATTTATTTTACACATTGTAGAGAATAAAATAAAAATTTTAATATTTTTTAAAATAATAAATATAACAAATTGAATATTTTAAATGCTAGTCTTATCCATAGTATTCTGCCATCCTGAAAGTATTGAGAAATTGATTTTATTAAGCTATCACTTTCCTATTTTCAGCTGAGAAGAAGTTCAAGGTTGAGGAAAATTTAGAGAGGAAAAGTCAGCTTGAGAGAAGAAAGTTTTAGCGGCCAGCCTTGCAGTTTATGAAAGTGAAAAATGTCCCAGTTAAAAGTTTGCAAGTACATTATGTTATCACTTATTTTGACATCTCTAATGGTAAATACCTGATAGCTGTTTATGAGAAATGTGAAATTCAGTTGAATTGGGGAGAAGGGCAACTACAGAGTGCCTCTGGAAGAGGGTTGTAATATTAAAGGAGGAAGAGAAAAATACAGGGCAGCAATGCAATGTCCTGCCTTGAGAAACATCCCTGGTTTTGTTCAAAAACCCCAGCCTATTTTGCACTTACCAAATGCAAATGATCATAGAATTATCAATCAAAACTATTTTCATACAAGCAAAATGATTGTCTGGCTCTGTTGAGCAAACCTTTTAAAATACACAAATACTCTTCCATTACTGGTCATTGAGTATTTGGCAATTTTGTGTGTTATATGTACATCTTAGAGAGTGAAGATAATGAGAGAAAGGGGATAAATAAGAAAAAGGGAAGTATAAGGAGATTACCCTCTGCAACTTTCTTGCATTTCAATCCAGAGCAAAATTGAAAGGTAAAGTTATTAGGTAAAGCAATAAAAGGAGAAAAAACTTAGTCTAGCAGAAGAGAACTGTCAATTATTTTGAGTATTTTTACTGCATTCAAGAAAGAAAAGTGAAGAGAAAATGAGTAAATTCTGGAAGTAATTTTCTGTAGGGAGTTCAAAGAGGGGCTCAGAATTTTGTCTGGTTCCCTTTTCATTACCTCTTCTTCCTTGGCTCTGCAATGGAAGGGGCAGAGTTGTTCTCCATATTACCCATGATCTCAGTGTCACTCAGAATTTTTACAAGAGATCCTTGCTTATAAACAATTTTTCTAAGCAAGTAGAATGGATTTATTTTTACTTTATTTTGACCTTAGTGACCTGTGCTAAGTTACAGCAATATCTTTGTCTGTTAAATCAGTGAGCAGTACATTGTATTTGTGAGCAGCATAAATTAACAGCACCTTTAGCTCTGTTCTTGGGAGGTTTAGTTTGGTTCCTGCTAGAGTAATGTGTACACTCCCCTGAACTAGAAAATCTATAGAAAACCATCATTAGTAGACTTGAATTTTAGAATTTGAAATATTTTTTCCCCTCTCATCTACCTCCCTCTTCAGGTTGATCTGACATGGGAAGATGCTTTGTTCATGTTTGAGTATTTTAAGCCTAAAACTCTTCCAGAATTTGATAGTTACAAAACCAGTACTGTGTCTGCTGATTTGGCCAACCTTCTGAAGAAAACTGCCACAATTGTTCCTCGAACTGACAAGCCTATGCTGAGCCTGGAGACTGTATCTGCCTATATTGAAGGAACATCCAGCAAGGTACAGTTCATTGTTTTTTAAAAAAAATTAAATTGTAGGGAGTAAAAATTGGTGTTGCTATTTTTATGTTGACTTTGAGATTATTAGTGGGATGATTTATTATTAGTGGGATTAGTAGTGGGATGATTTATTCCATGATGTTGGGTTTCCTTGGGTAATTGCATTAGTCTTTGAATGGTAAAATATTGTCAGGATGAGATGTTCATTAGTGTTTGTAAGTGCTCTATCTGTGAAATGCTTTCAAGGTCTTCCTATTCAAAACCTTCACATTCTGTAATGGAAAGGTTGCTTCCTCTACAGGGAAGAAGCAAATGCTCATTTTTATGAACCTTTGCCTTTCTGATTTTCAGGCTCCATCTCTCCCTGAGGGTGCAGACTATTCCCCACCAGTGGTGACTGAGCTCTATTATCTCCTGGCAGATTATCATTTCAAGAACAAAGAACAGTCCAAGGCCATTAAATTTTACATGCACGACATTTGTATTTGTCCAAACAGGTCAGTATTTTGGAATCCTGCTGCATGTCCTTCATTCTTCTCACTTCTTTCAGTACTGAAAAGCAGACAATTGGTTTCAGGAATGAAAAAAAATCCCAAACAGCCAAAAGCCCCACCTGCAATCCATTATCACATGTCCATTGTATAATTAAGGGCATCTCTAAAACAGCCCAACAGAGAAAACAAAACCCAAAACATAGGGTGAAATATTTGATTGCTTTGAAATTAAAACCAAAAAAAGAAAGGAGGAGGGGGGAAGCTAAATTGAAATAAGTAATAACTGTGAAGAATGAACTGTTTGTACCTTTTGTTCTTTGCTTTGGCATGTTCATGCATGATAAGGAGTGAAAAATATCATTTGATAGGTAACTATAGCTCAAATGGCATCCTTTAGTGCATTAATTGCTTAGGCTGACCTCTTCCTAAAAGTGTTGATTTTGGTGCTAGAGAACCACACAGAGAATACAAATAAAGTATTTAAGTGATATTTAAACAAAACCACCTTGTTTCTTGGTAATTTACAACTCACTGAAATACCATCAAGATTAAGCTCTCTCATCTTAAAAATAAAGCATGTTCTGTATATCAGTCTTCTAAATTAAACCAAGTAACCTTTAAATTTACTGATTAAATATAGAGTTTGCATATTAGGTGTTATCATTTTAATTCTCCTTGAAGTTGATAGATCAGGGTCAGTGACAAAAACCCTAATTTGATAGATTTGAGACAAGAAAATTGTTTCTAAATCCAGTCACGTAACAGAGACAAAAGGGAAGGTGAAGGCACAGAGCAATTTTAGATGTGAAATCTTCAGAGGAAATAGCTGTAGTTTAATGTTATTGCATCTTCTAGTCTGGGACTTGTGACTAGCAAATGGCTAAAACTTCTGTTTAAAGGCAGATGAAGAAATTACCATTATCACCCCCTACCCATTTTTCTGCAGTTTTGATGTTCTAAAACTTAAAATCAAAAATAAATGAATGGAATGCATTTTTACTTTAATATGTGGCATTTTTTTGCACTCAGAAGATGCTTTATGTGTAACATAGTATTTTTACCCCAGTCAAAGTAGTTGGTACTTGTCTGTACTACAGTTCCTGCTCCATTCCCCTCAGGAATCTGACTGTTGAGGTCACTTGACCTAGAAATGGGCTTTCAGTTGGAATCAGAAGAAATTGCAGGCAAAAAAATGAGAACATTATGGTGGTTGCCTTGGTGTTAAAATCATGGTAAAATTGAAAAAGCCCAGAGCAGAAGAACCCTGGTGTTCAAGTGAGGTTGGAAACCACCCTTCAGACTGTGTTGTTAGCAAACACAGGGCAGGACCCTCAACAGTCCTTCAGGCAGAAATTACAGTTTCAGTTCATCAGGATTTTCCTACTTGGATGCAATTTTGGCTTTATGATTTTTATGCTGGGAAATGATGATGATTATTCACAGTTGAGTCCAACAGCACAAGGTGTCACAATGTCTGCTGGCCTGCAGGGTGACAACATTTTGACAGTGCTTCATGGTTACTGAGAAAAAAACAGTGGGAGTGCTGCCATTAGAAATATGGATATACTGGCTTTGCAAGGCAAATAAACCTGGGTTTTTAATCTGTTTTCCATGTGTGACAGTTACTGGGGGCAGTGCTTTGTTAGGAAACCACTTAAGGAAAATCAATATGATTTAGGCTGTACAGCTTGTGTTCTGCTCTGAGGAGAGGAGGAAGTGCAGAAATCTGTTTTGTGTGATAGAAAGAGGAAAAAGTTGTAGATACAAGAAGACAAATCTTGTCTATGTGCAGTGAAATGTTCAGGGGGAGTTTGTTCATGGGTTTAAGAGCCTGAGATGAGAGATGTGGGACTCCAGGCAGCTCTTGAAAATGCTGTTCATTGTAAAGAAGTTGTTTTACAGCAGTCTGGGTCATGGGTGACAGAGCTGCCAGCTACAGCTCTAGGCAAGCCTGAAGCCCCTTTAGTTCTGGTTACAATGCACTGTATATTTCTCTTTGCTGACTATCTTAATACATAATAACCAATCAGCATCATATACAATACCTTTACTATTACCTATAGCCTATCATAACTGCTATATTTACCATATTATGGTCATTACTTCCAATCACCTGAGTTAGTATGTTACAGTTTAAGCTTAAAGTTGTTTTTCAGTTTTCTTGCAGTGGAAAGTTCTTAGACCTTTTTTCTACTTGCCACATTGGCATGTTTGTTTGCCTGTGGTATCTTTCTGCTTTTCCTAAGACCTATTTCTGCTTGGTAAAAACACTTTTTTGTTTGTGGTCAACATATCCTTTGCTCTAGTCCTAAAACCCCCTTCCAACTCAACTTAACCTTTGCTTTCTTAGTTGTCCAGTAATGACTGGCTCAGCAATTCTCAATTTAGACATCTGTCGTTCTTCTATATCGAAACTTGCTTCCACCTCTCTTCCATTCTCAGGTTTTACATTCAGAGCTCTCTGCCAAGCACACATATCTGTGAAACTTTCTTGTCAAACTTTCACCTTTTCCAACCATGGGTTGTGTTCCTGCCTGCACAGGTTTGACTCCTGGGCTGGGATGGCTCTGGCTCGAGCGAGCCGCATTCAGGACAAGCTGAACTCCAATGAGCTGAAGAGTGATGGCCCCATCTGGAAACACTCCACCCCTGTGCTGAACTGCTTCAAACGGGCCCTGGAGATCGACAGCTCCAACCTGTCCCTGTGGATTGAGTACGGCACCATCTCCTATGCCCTGCACTCCTTCGCGTCCCGGCAGCTCAAGCAGTGGAAAACGGAGCTTCCCCCTGAAGTGGTCAAGCAGGTGGGATCTAACACAGAGAGTATAAGATTTTAAATACTTAAAATTAGGTTTTTGTCTCGGTTTGAAAAGACAGGTGTCCACTAAGGAAAGCAGGAGCCTCCCCTGAAATGGAAAAATGAAAACCCTCTCCCTCTGAATTGTTATAAATTTGAAATTAAGGGGCTCTCAGGCAAAAATATGGGAGCAGGAATAACAATGGAGTAAACCAAAACAACACTGCCAGAGTCAGAACCCAGCCTGACACCCTGTGGGTCAGGCTGTTGGCAGCAGTCCCACTGGAATTGTGGCTCAGCCCTCCTGCAGTGTCAGGGCTGGTTCTGCTGGAGCAGGGATCCTGGAGAAAGGTGCAGTCTCTGCCTCTGAAGATCCAGGGCAAGAGGCAGCTGCTGTTCCTCTGGGGAATCCAGTGCAGAAGCTGTGCTGGTGTTCCAGAATCTCCAGATTATATCCAGGTAGGAATGCTTGGCTGGTGTTCCAGAATCTCCAGATTATATCCAGGTAGGAATGCTTGGCTCCTCCCTCTGGGCTCACATCTCCCAATGGGATGCTGTAGTTCTTATCAGCCATGCAGGGACATTCAATAGCTGTTATCAGCAGGTGTCTCCCCAAGGGAGGATTGGGTGTGGAAGAGACAAAGGAAACTGCCCAATGAACAGAAGATAACTGCCATACCTCTAACAGATGGCAAATAGAATACACACCTTGCCTTGTTAGAAATCTGGGACAGTTTTCTAACATAGGAAATTTTTAAATTAAGTATTTATATGCTGTATTCTACATATGAGACTATCTGGTTACTTAGTAATGTTGGAAACTCCAATATTCGTGTAATATGGTCAAGCAGCATTTGGAGGTGGGTTTTTTCCTTTTTCCTGTGTAAAATCAGTTTGAACCTAATCTTTGAATTATCTTTTGAAGGTGACACAAAATTATTGTAACCTTCTGGAAAGGGGAATTATATTTACCTTTCCTTTCTGTAAATGTCACACAATGTTTCCAGGAAAAGGTGAAATGCATACATATTGAAATAGTGAAGAGATCAGAAATTACTCTGATATCTGTATCCACATGTCATCTCTTACATCTAAAGAATTCCCCCCTTTTCTGTGGTTTTGGGCCATTTACCTAAACAAAAGATCAAAGTGAAAAGATTGGTAGAATTTCCATTGAAAACATTGTTATGAATTCATTATCTCTTTCTGCATAAGGGAGGTGAAAAACATTATTAAGAAGTTTATTGCTAAACAAAAATGAACAATTATAAATACACTCTGACACTGATAAGAGTTGCTTGGGAAAATGTTTTGTCTTTTTGGACCAGTGAACTCCATTTCTGATTTAGCTATTCTGACTCCAAATGTTACCTAGTCTGCAGCTGGAAGCACAATGAAAAAAAGGAAGTGCTGCTTCTCTGCTGTAATTTGTAAAACTTTCAGTGTTTGAGCTGCAGAGATCAGTGCTGGGAGCAGCCTTTGCTGCTGGGAGATTTGCAGGAGGTGGTGAGTGTCCATCTGAGCTGCCTCAGCACTGCACTAACACTGCACTTCCACAGGCACTTCTTGCCTGAGAACAAAGCTGATGTCAGCCTGTGTTTAAAGGGAACAAATCGTTTATTAAAGAGTAGGTTTGAAATGCCAGTCAACAATAGAGTTTTCTTCTGGAGGGTTATTGCATCCAACAGCTCCGAAATGAACTCCTCAGAAAATGAAGTTACTGCATTTTATGTCTTTGCCCTATCAGAATTTTGGTCTTATGGTCTTGCAGCCCCTTGGCAATGAGGGATTTGTTGAAGAATTTCAGGGATAGTGCTGGAATTACTTCACAGTATCAGATAAAAGGAGCAATACAGAGCAGCCATCTGAAGTTGAGGATTAAATGAGAATGTTTATTTAGGACTACTTAAATCTTCATTTTTTTTCAAGTGAATATATTAAAAATGCATAATTTAGTAAGAAAAGCTCTATTATAATAAAAGATAAATTGAAACAATTTCATCTCACTTCCACAGATATATCTCTTTAGGAATGTGTTTCTCATACATAAAAACCTTATTATTCTCTTCTTCTTACAGAATGTTTAGAAAAGGAAAGGTTATGTTTTAGTTCTTGGTTATAGCCACACAGCTTAAATTTATAAACTTCATTTTCAAAGAGAGAAAATTACATTAATGCATCTTTTGACCTACTTTTTTTTACATGAATTTATTGGAATTTAGCTTTAATTTATGCTGCTGGTTTTAATTTTTTTTTTTTTGACAGGGTGGGATGGGGAGAATATTTATCTCAAAATTAGATACATTGCAAGCAAGATGAAATACTTTTCTTCACAAATGAGAGTGGTCTATAGTGACTTTAGCAGACTTCAGTTGCAGAACAAAGCAAATAATTTTTTTCTTTGAAGAGTTAAGATAATAATAAAAAAAAACACTAAAAAATTACCAAAAATAAATTCTACCACTGTGAAAAAGTGGTGGAATTTCTGTAGACATGAATATTAGGTTGTTACCTCAGCCATCTGAGGTAGCTGACATATCTTGAGTGTAATATAGATCTCCAAGACCTCATAAGACCTGGCTTGAGGAGACTCCTCTATATATTTCTATAAATATAAATATGAAGGTTTTTTCTGTGTTACTGTTTTGTTCTGGTTAGTTGTGCCAGCAGTCACTGGAGTGAACAAAAGCCTCTCCACAAACCCATTTTTTGGGCGGTTTGGGTGCGTTTCACCACTTGGGATGTATTGGATACTTCTACATCACTTATGTTGAAAATGTTGAGAAGCTGTACCACGCTCACACGCTTTTGCACGGGCAGCAGGGTGTTTGTTTTTGGGCTTGGCCAGGGGAGCTGCAGTGAGCTTTGTTGTGCCCTGTGCAGATGGAGGAGCGCAGGGACAGCATGCTGGAGACAGCCAAGCTGTGCTTCACCTCGGCGGCGCGCTGCGAGGGCGACGGCGACGAGGAGGAGTGGCTCATCCACTACATGCTGGGCAAGATAGCTGAGAAACAGAAGCAGCCTCCTGTGGTGTACCTGCTGCACTACAAACAGGCAGGGCACTACCTGCACGAGGAGGCTGCTCGCTACCCTAAGAAGATTCACTACCACAACCCCCCAGAACTGGCCATGGAAGCCTTGGAGGTAAGGGAATGTTGAATGTGTAGCTGGAATTCTTGGAGGTGAAGGGATGTTGGATGTGCAGCTGGAATTCTTGGAGGTAAGGGAATGTTGAATGTGTAGCTCAAATCCTTGGAGGTAAGTGATGTTGGATGTGTAACTGGAAGCCTTGGAGGTAAAGGGATGTTGGATGTGTAGCTCAAAGCCTTGGAGGTAAAGGGATGTTGGATGTGTAGCTCAAAGCCTTGGAGGTAAAGGGATGTTGGATGTGTAGCTGGAATTCTTGGAGGTAAGGGAATGTTGGATGTGTAGCTCAAATCCTTGGAGGTAAAGGGATGTTGGATGTGCAGCTGGAAGCCTTGGAGGTAAAGGGAATGTTGAATGTGTGGCTGGAATTCTTGGAGGTAAGGGAATGTTGAATGTGTAGCTGGAAGCCTTGGAGGTAAGGGAATGTTGAATGTGTAGCTGGAAGCCTTGGAGGTAAAGGGATGTTGGATATGTAGCTGGAATTCTTGCAGGTAAGGGAATGTTGGATGTGTAGCTGGAATTCTTGGAGGTAAAGGGATGTTGGATGTCTAGCTGGAATTCTTGGAGGTAAGGAAATGTTGGATGTGTAGTTGGAATTCTTGGAGGCAAGGGAATGTTGGATGTGTGGCTGGAATTCTTGGAGGCAAGGGAATGTTGAATGTGTGGCTGGAATTCTTGGAGGCAAGGGAATGTTGAATGTGAGCTGGAGTTCTTGGAGGTAAGGGAATGTTGAATGTGTAGTTGGAATTCTTGGAGGCAAGGGAATGTTGGATGTGAGCTGGAATTCTTGGAGGCAAGGGAATGTTGAATGTGAGCTGGAGTTCTTGGAGGTAAGGGAATGTTGGATGTGTAGCTCAAATCCTTGGAGGTAAGGGAATGTTGGATGTGTAGCTGGAGTTCTTGGAGGTAAGGGGAATGTTGAATGTGTAGCTCAAATCCTTGGAGGTAAAGGGATGTTGGATGTGTAACTGGAAGCCTTGGAGGTAAAGGGATGTTGGATGTGTAGCTCAAATCCTTGGAGGTAAAGGGATGTTGGATGTCTAACTGGAAGCCTTGGAGGTAAAGGGATGTTGGATGTGTAGCTGGAATTCTTGGAGGTGAAGGGATGTTGAATGTGCAGCTGGAAGCCTTGGAGGTAAGGAAATGTTGGATGTGTAGTTGGAATTCTTGGAGGCAAGGGAATGTTGAATGTGTGGCTGGAATTCTTGGAGGCAAGGGAATGTTGAATGTGAGCTGGAGTTCTTGGAGGTAAGGGAATGTTGGATGTGTAGCTGGAAGCCTTGGAGGTAAAGGGATGTTGGATGTGTAACTGGAGTTCTTGGAGGTGAAGGGGTGTTGGATGTGCAGCTGGAAGCCTTGTTCTTGTAGGAATGTGCCCCCTGTTGACGGAGTGACAAAATGATCCTTTGTCTCCTTAAAAAGGAAAAAAGCCCAGAAGTTTCTCTTATCAATTAGGTAAAAAGACACCTCAGGGGACCTTGGGGACTTCATCTCAAACTTAAGGATAGCCAATTGGACAGAAGCCAAAAAGTCCAGTCTAAGCAACTCACTAGAAAAAGAACAAAGGAAATAATCACTTTTGTGAGGTGTTCTACCAGGAGCAAGAGCCTCTTGCCCCTGGCTCGGGTGTTTCTCTGTCAAGAGCTTTGTTATTTTGCCTTTTAATAAAACTCTTCTGTTTCCAACACTGCCACAGAAGCCATCCTGCTGACTTTATGCCATCTGAGGTAGCTGAGCTATCTTGGGTGTGATATGGATCTCCAAGAGCTCCTAAGACCTGGCTTGAGGAGACCCCTCTGTTATGTTCTCTACAGGTTTTAGGCACATGTAGATGGTGCTCTGGAGAGTGAAATGGACCCTGTTATTTAGGCTGCTTTCATTTCAAAGGCAGTTAGGGCAGGTGGGTAGCAATTCCACTTCTAAATTTTGCTGCACACAGTTCATTGTTTGTTCTAAAAATCAGACATTGATAGGATTTACAGGCATCTCATACCTATGGAAGCACAGGTTCATGCAGGAGTGGGAGCTTTGCTTCCACTGTGTTGTCTGCTAAAAGCCCTAGAACATACCCAGTCATCACTTGCTCTAACGAGGCCAGTTCTGCTTTCTTTGTTGTGTTCCATAGGTTATGGTTATAAAATTTGCACAGTTTTCAGATTTTGTTATTTAAGAGCAACTTTCAAAGGCAGGGAAAGTTCAATTCAGGTAAGTTTAGGTGTCAAGTAGCTGTCTCAACTAACTCCTGCAGATTCTATAGAGAAAAGACTATTTGTAATAGGTTACAGAGCTACAAATTCTTTACTGACCAAATGGACTTTGGTGTTTTTTAGGTATATTTTCGACTTCATGCTTCTATTTTGAAACTTGTGGGGAAGCCAGACTCTGGAGTAGATGCAGAGGTACTTGTTAGTTTTATGAAAGAAGCTTCTGAGGGACCCTTTGCCAGGGGTGAGGAGAAGAACACCCCAAAAGTTGCAGAAAAGTGAGTGCTAGTTTCCAGCAATATCCTCTGAATGAATGCTGATATAAACTATTAAAATGAAGCTGAATAAAATATAAACAAAGTGAATAAAATTTTCATTAATATTAGCAGTTTTCAGGAACCATGAATAAGATTAAATGCTACTCTGACATCTCAATAAGTGGCACAGAGGAAATGGGAAGGGAAGAAGACAGAAGAATTCTGATCTTGTGATCCATTTTGAAGCCACTGTTTTTATTTATTCAAAAATTTGATTTTTTAAATCAACAGTTAAAAAATGCAAATTCAAATTATGGTCACTTATAGGATGAGAGATTTTAGTCCTTACAATTTTTCTCATTAACAACTGCAAAATAAATAAGAGTTTGCTATTGATCAGTGATAAGGGAATGTCATGGTGGAGAAACTTCATAATTACAAATGTCCCCAGGCAGCTGTTAGTGAAAAATTGAGAACCACAAAAAACTATTTTTTCCTCTTATTAAAAAAAATCTCTGTAACGTTAACAAAAAAAACTTCTCTCCCTAAATAAACTAAAAAAAAAAAAATAAAAGGAATAAACTAGCTAAAAATTTTCAATTTCATTTCTTTACATTGTCAATAAGATAAAAAGATATAAAAAAGTGTTCTAAAAAAATATTTTAGTTCTTACTACTTTTTTTTCTTTTAATTACTGTTAATAAAATTTTCTTTATAACCCTTTTAAAGTTTTAAACCTACTTTTAGGTTTAAAAGTAGGTTTAAAAGCTTTAAAGTTTTAAACCTACTTTACCTTTCTCCTAATCCTATCTTCCTACTTCACAACAAGAAATAAATACATAAATGATTCACCAACACTAAAAGCCACCACACTAATCAATACATTAGTTAAAAAATCTTAAATTAACAAACCAAAACCACTACAGGGAGGAAATAACTTGTACTAAAAATCCTTTATTTAGAATTTGTCAGTGAGATTTAATTGCTGTGTTGGAAATGCTGTAAGAACATGTATATAAATATGGTGTTGTGGGCCCCAGGATGAAGTGAGAGATGAGACTTGACTCTAAGCTTTCAGAAGGCTGATATGATATCATATGATATCATATGATATCATATTATATCATATATCATATTATACTATATTATACTATATTATATTACACTATATTACACTATATTACACTATATTACACTATATTACACTATATTACACTATATTACACTATATTATACTATATTATACTGTATTATACTATACTATACTATATTACATTATACTACATTATATTATTTTACATTATATTATATTATGATATATTACATTATGTTATGTTATATTATGTTATATTATATTATTATATTATTATATTATTATATTATTATATTATAATTATATTATAATATATTATATTATATTACATTATATTATATCATATCATATATTATATCATATATCATACTATACTATATTATACTATATTATACTATACTATACTATATTACATTATATTACATTATATTATGGTATATTATTTTACATTATATTACATTATGTTATGTTACATTATGTTATGTTATGTTATATTATGTTATATTATGTTATATTATGTTATATTATATTTATTATATTTATTATATTTATTATATTATATTATATTATATTATGTTATGTTATGTTATGTTATATTATATTATATTATATTATATTATATTATATTATATTATATTATATTATATTATGCTATACTAAAACTATACTAAACTATAGAAAAAAGATACAGACAGAAAGCTAGAAAATAATAAATAATAAAAACCTGTGACTGACTAGAAAGTCTGACACAGCTAGACTAGGATTAATCATTGATAAAAACATTTCACATACTAGAATAAACAATTCTCCAAATCACATTCTAAAGCAGCAAAACAGGGAGAAGCTGAAGCTTCCCAGCTTCCCAGGAGCAACAAGGGATTTTTCATCAAATATCTCAGTAACACTTCTCCTTTCTTGTCGCCCTGCCAGAGAAAAGCCTTGCTTGGTAGATGAAGACTCTCACTCCTCAGCTGGAACAGTGCCAGGCCCTGGGACTTCCCTCCCCTCGTCCTCGGGCCCAGGTCTGACATCCCCACCTTACACAGCCACTCCAGTTGACCACGATTACGTCAAATGTAAAAAACCCCGTCAGCAGGCACCGCCGGACGGTACAGTCCTGTTCTCACTTCTGCAGCAGGGAGGTGCTCTCAGCTCTGCATGGGGGGCTTGAGCAGTTCCAGCACACTGCTCAAGGAGGGTGAGGGGTCTGTGGTATCACGGGCAATATTGAAGCTCATTATTTTTGTATATATTCAGTGCTTTAAATAGAATCAATGTACAGTCAGAGCTTTAAATACGAAAATCAAAGTTGTCACCTGCCACCGCTGGTACCTGTCACTTAGTCAAAACAGCTGTGTTGGTAGGAGGAGTATGAGCTCACTGAATTTTCAGTGATTTTTTTTCTTCAGAGCTCTTTAGGAAAGATGTGGGTTCAGTCTTTAGAAGACTGGACACTGTTTTGGCCTGTGTGAAATGAATGGTGAAAATTCAAACTGGTTCCAACAAGACAAATTGGTAAAAAGACAGCACAAACCTGTATTGCAATTTCTTGAAGGAGGCAGGTGGCAACTATTTTAAATATATTGTGATTCAGCACGAAGTGATTTGCATGACAGTCCAGTAGATTTCATCTTTTAATTTTTCTTTATCATTTACAATGACTGGTTAGCAGCTCATCTTTGTAGAATATAAAGTGATAGAAAAAATAATTGGCTTATAAATGTAAGAAGAAGGGGTTGGTGTCATAGTGTTAATGAAGATTTTGCAATTGCATATATAATAGAAATTAAGTTACAATTTAAGTAACCTGAGTTTATTATTTGGCTAGGAATTTGATTCTGATTCTACTCTTCCAGCTATTTGTTTATCCATCTGGATCTATGAGTATCAGCACTCAAGGAGTAAAATACCTACAGTGTTTAGCTTAGTGTTGGTAGAATGTGCCAGGCCCCACAGAAATGCTCTGCTTGATATGAATTTATTTCTGGAGGGTGGGCTGCTTCCTATTGTCATTTTCTGAAGAATGGAAATTGTAAATAACTTTGTTTACACAGTTTTGAAACAAATGTTCCTAGTCTGAAGTTCTTTCAGGGTGAGTTTATTTCTTTTCCTCAACAATTCTTGGTGCAACCGACAGCAGCTCTTTTATTTCTCTCATTATATTGAACAGAGAAATGTTTGTTTTGTTACTGCTTGCATTTCACTTGGGAGTAATTCATTAGCCTGTTTTGAGATCATTTGTAGTGTGGAGGTGTCAATGGGTTATGCAGTGATCAGGCTCTTTTATTGGCTTTTTGATGTCTTTTGACAAAACAGCAGAGAAGGGAGCAAATATTTAAATATTTCTTAAGTAATATTCCCTGTGGGGAGCATTTCTTCCTAGGACTGCATCTGTTTGGTCCTGAAGAGTGTCTCAGGCTCCCAGGAGAGCCATAAGCTAAATAAATACCCAGTGTGTGTGGCTGGAGCCTCCTCTGCAGTGAGACATTGTGGCTGTGGCAGCCATGGCTGCTGAGCCAAGCCTGAAGGTGCCAGTGCAGCAACATCTGCCTCTGCCAGGGCTGGGGGAGCAGAGCCTGGATCTGCAAGCTGAGCCTAGCTGGGACTGAGCTTTGTGCTGGCAAAGCAATTCCAAATGGCAGCTGCTGGGAGAGGCAGAGTTTGGGTGATCTTCAGGCAGGCTGTGTGTAACCGTGACAAGGAGAATTGCAGAGTTCTGCAGCATTCCGAATGTTTTGTGAGTTGCTGGCACAACTAAAGCCTGGATCCAGCATATTGAAGAACCCCAGGAAACTGAAATATTTGCCTTGGGGCTGTTACAGATGGAAGAGCTAACAGGCTGAGCTAACAGGCTCAGAAGTCTTCCACTTTTATATTATTACATATACTCTGCTCTTCTGCATGCATTTGCATTTTACTTGTATTAAAATACAGACTTTTGAAGTAAAATGCTCTTGACATCTTACACATAATCACATCACTGAAGAAAGCTGGCGCCAGCATTTCCATTGTACCATTCCTAAAAATAGCAAGAAAATACTCATCATTTGACTACTCTTCAGATTATTTTTTAACCATTCTGACAGAAATGAAGCAGTCTATATTGTTATTCAGGAGGAAATAAATTGATCAAAATTCAGCCTAGGTATTTATTATTTCTGAGGCTTGACAATACTCTTATTTACTCTTGCATTGATCTTGTTGATCATAGATGGCATAAGTAAAGTAAGGGTATTGTACAGTTTTACAGACTTTTCATATATTACCACAAACAAGATGCTATTTGGGATCATTACTGACCTTAGAGACCTTTTTTGACCATTTCTGTGTTCTGTGCTTTGAGGAAACATGACCTGTGAGAAAGAGAGAAGGAATTGGGATGCTTTGTCTGCAGAGGAGAAGACTCAGGGGAGACATGACAGCAGAGTAACCTAGATAGTGTTGGAAGCTGTACAAAGAGTTAGAAGCAAAACCCCAGGATATCTGTGTTCATGGAAGACAGAACAGATGATATTGCACTTAAATTGCCTTTTCATTCTGAACATTAGAAAACTCTGTTAGAGTAGTCTTAGGAAATTCTGGTTTTGTGTAACCCTGCAATATTTTAGCCCTGGAAGTCATTAAAAAGTGGCAATGCAGCTGTCTGCCAGGCATGATGGAGATATAATTTATCCTGATGAAAAAGGAATGGACTAGATGAACACTTGCAGTTCCTTCTGAACTCTACTTATTCTATTAATTTTGTGGCTTTTGTGGGTTTGGGTTTTGGTGGGCTTGTTGGTTTGGTGCCTTCTAGAGCAGCAAATAATCTCATTACAAGCTGGAGAGAATTGCTGTACAGCCAAACATCTTTTCATGAAAATCCTGGGGTTCTGATCTTGAAACATTTATCTGTAAACAGGTGAAGCTGTGAGGGCAGACATATTTTGAATACATTCTATTTAAATGTGTCCTTATAGTTCTGTAGCTCTCTGGGATGTTTTGCTGCTGGAAGATGATGACTGGGATATGCAGAAATCAGTGTTAAAGTTGAGAGCATTGAGAGGCTCCAGATCAGTGAGTGCTGGTGATACTAGTTTTAAGTTGTGTATTTAATGAAAACAGGAGAAAGGAACCAGTAAATACAGTTGTAAAGTAACTAAACTTCTTTTTCCTCATGGCAGCTGCTAGCACAAATCTCCTTCAAGGAGACAAAAGTATTGCTGAGTGGCAGCTGTTACTTGCTGGCTGACTTGCTGCTGTCATGTGTAAAATGGGCAGCTTCCTTTCTCTTTTCTTATCTTTCCATTTGGCAACATCTTTTCTTTCCTTCTGTTAATCCCATCTTTCCTGTCATCACCCCTGCCTATTGCTATTTTATAACCCTCCAAAGTGAAAACTTGCATTAGAAGGCTGAAGCAGAGGTTCAGATTCTTATTTTCTAAGAGCAAAATAGGAAACAGGAAAACCCAGGAACTTGCCAGCCACTCAGACTTTCATCACCTGTGCTGTTACTGTGTTTTAGCTAAATGGTTACATAGCAAAACAGATATGCTCTCTGTCCTCCTCTGCACAGGCTGGATGTATGTAGTCAGTAAAAACCAGCTGCAGTAAGAGCAATAGAGTTAGTTCAGAAAGCAGGAAAAGTAGTAAAATAAAATTTAAAACGTGTGAATAAGATATCTGTTTCTCAAAAAGTAGACTGGGAGATTGTTTAGGAGGTGTTTTTTACTGTGATATGCCTTTGTTGTGTTGATACTCAGTTCCATATTCCTGTGGTGGTATGCACATGATGTATCCATGGCTATTGCACTGTGAAAATGTTGTATTGTTGAAGTCTTCATCCATGTCATGTAGTATGTCGTGTGTAGTTAGACTTAATTGTCCTTTTTTGTGTTTGTCTTTGCCTGATTGCTTTTGCAACCAATATTGCCCGTGCTGCCTCTAACCTTTACACAAATCTCTGTTCCCCAGGCATTCTCTTCCTGCTTTTACCTGTCACGGCTTGCTTTTAATAATTGGCAGAACCTGCATGATAAACTCACAGGAAAGGCTCCTTGCTTCGTGCTGTGGGAGAAGTCTCACCCCATAGTTTGTTGGTCTGTAATTCTGCAAATGTGATGAAGATGCACAGTTTTTGTAAATGGGGGTTCTCAACATCCTGATGAGACAAAGGTGATCTCTGAGCAACTCCTTGCACCAGGTTGTCACTCATGCTAAGCTAAATCAGCTTCTGGGATGGAGTGGATGTTTCTGTGCATAAAAAGAACATCCACTTTGCATTTTGAAATGCCCTTAAAATTCTCTCTCTTCAGCAGTTAGAAATGCAATCTTTGGGTCTGCAGTGCATGTGCTGTGCTGGCACGTGGTGCTGGGTGTCCATGGGGACTGCACACTGGACTCCATGAATAATGAATCACACCCAGTTTATTGCACTGTGCTCCATTTTTACCTTTCCCCAATTTAACCTCTCTCTGATTAGTAGAAGTGTCACACTGAGATGGAGTGTGAGATTATGTAAAAAGCATTTGTCCAATAGATGGGACATGGGTGAGATGCTTTGGTGCTCTGCTCTTGGAGCCAGAACAGCAATACAGGACTGTAAGTTGTGGAAACACATTCTGTGTTCGGTACAACCAGACAAAACATAGACTCTCATCTTTGACTCATGTTAAAAGAGAACTCCCTTGAAATTGCTGTCCTCAAATTAACCTACTCCCATGCAAATCTTTGCAATTCCTTTGTTTTTTAATAATGTGCAAGTGCCTTTTGATGCAGAGCTAAATGTTGTCTTCTGTTATGGGTGGAGTCTGTTTGCAGAATGAGAATTCTGTGATACATCATGTTTCTGACTGCAGACCAGTGAAGAAAAATGCTCATATGTTCAAGTGGAGAGGGAAGAGATGGTGCCAGGCAGGACAAAGAGAGTCTGTACCTTCACAGCCTGTGAACTGCCCACCTTTATTGCATGACACAAGATTTTTTTTCAGTTATATATAGTTGCTTATTCATAAGCTCTGAACTGTGCAGCAGGATGTTTCTTTTCTGCAAATTGAGTTAGCAGATGTACAGAGCTCTGTAGAAAAGCTTTCTGGGCCACTCATTTCCGACTTTTTGACTTGTAACTGAT